CTCCATCTTAACTAATTAACTGAGAGATCACCATCACTGTATGAAACAACAAATGTAAGTGAGAAGAAATGTAATTATTGAATCTCTTGAGCATGTCAATGAAATTGAACCAGAAAGCCACAGTTAGACCAGACACTGTAATTTAATATGTGGAGCGTCTTTACCCTTCAACTACACGGTTACTATTCAACAATTACAGCTGACGTTCGCTTCTTGCTGCTTCAGCTATCATGTCTAACAAAGAAGCACACATGGCAATGCATGAGTGCTTATTTGCCTGTCTGTGTCTTTTGTCTTGTTGCCAGACTCCTCAGAGGTTTCCAGTGGGGGGATTTCTAGCTGTCAGACTAAAAGATGCTGATGTTAGCATTTCTATAAAGCAATGAATTTCTTTATCCCGTGCAAAAGCTTTCCTCGGATCTAAAGCAAAGGAGCAATCTGCAAACGTACTGTGAATGTAACATTCACAAAAAAAAAAAAAATTGTTAGTCTTTTTTTGTTTCTGCTTGTTGCATCTCCAGAGTTCACTGTTTTCTTTCAGGCAACAATAAATAGTCAAAATATTGTCACTGTTTTGCCATCATGTTGATGTTTAAAACGTTTATAAAGACCATAATGCATAGAATGTATGCAAAACTTTATTTTGCGCCAAAATATTTTACAGTTACTGCTAAAATGTTATTAAAAGGCCTATTATTCTGTGTGAAAAAATCAGTTGTGCTATTGTTGTAACTTTCTTTCATATATTTCACCAGTTCCTGCAGGTCTTGAAATTTGAATATTTTTAATCTTAATTTGTGTCCCTTTATGAAAGGAGATTTAGAATCTTCATAATAAGATTAAGGGTCTCGTATCTAATATTGGATAAAATGGATGTCCACTTTACTTTTTGAGCTTTGGTTCTTTTTCATGGCGAAGACAAAACAGGAACACTGCAGAAAATTCCAAAGCTGTTTGGAGTGAGACTATGAGATGCACATAAAAAGCTTATGGACTCATTGATTTTGAAGAGGTCTATGTTTCCTCCATCATAAAGCTTTATAGTCTCAATGAAAAGCTCAGATGTTAAAGTACAATCGCTATAAATAGAAATCTGTCATGATGACAGGGAACAGCTATTTGTGACTGTAGCTCTGTGCGTTTCTGCATCGTGATGTATACATTTTGTCATTTACATGAACCAAAAATGCCTGATAAAATGAAACATTACCTCTTATGTCACCATATTATTATTATTAATACCCTCATTACACTGTTTAGTATATGCCTTGCATTTTAGTGAAAAACAGTCGAGCATCTCCAACTAAGCCAGGTGAGACGCCTACTTCAAAGACATAACAGCCTATCATTTTTTCCCTTTTAAATATACTAGCAGTGCTAAGGCTTCCGAGAGATGGCTGTTTAAAAGCTGACACTACTCTGCGAATTATTTGGGGTCCTCCACAAATACGGTTGCTTCTGGTGTCAGAGCAGTGTGCATATTCTGAGTATTGCTACAGCAGGCAGGCCCAAATATTACAGGCTGTCATGCTTCCAGCTCAATCTCCTGGCAGACCATAGTGGGGAGACCCCTGCCCTCCTGCTACTAAGTTACATCTGCCCAGCTTTACAGAGCTAGGTCCACGTAAAAAAAATAAATAAAAAAAACAGCATGGTTGTGGGAGAGAATTGGCGGAATACTAATGTATGCTGGCCTTGGACAGACCTCGCCACCCGCAGCCCTTTTCTTCCTGTTTCTGTGAAGCAGTTGTGTAACTTGCCTGGGGAAAAGCCCCTGGGTATTTCATTATGATTCGCAGGAAACAGAAAATCGACACGGATGGACTCCAGAATCATTAAAATCAAAACAGAAGAGATAGAAAAGTCATGTTGGCACAACTTCCTCCAAATGGACAGAAAACTCCACTCATCATCGACATGGGCTTCTTCTAACTTGTAAAATAAATTTTTATTATGTTGATAGAGCTTCTTAACTGTCAACAATTTGGTGGCTAAAATTGACTGTGTATTTTTTTAATTAAATTCTGCAACTGAATACATCTGGCTTGATTTTCAGTATGAACAGTGTTTACTGGTTATTTTTTAACACCTTGTAGAATCTTGTTGCCAATTTGCAAGCCACAACATAGTCAGGAAATTTTTGCCCTTAAGTTTTCTGCGTGCTGTTCAATGATTGATAACAGTTTCCTCTTTACTTTAGAAGTGAATGAGACGATCCTACAGATATTTAGGATTTAAAAACAGTTTGACTGAAAGAAAGTAGAGCATGTTTCTGGACCATTTGATTTAGTCTTAATCACAGTTTTAAACACCACTTACTTGCGGCAGGTGATTATGTTCTATCAATATTAAGATTTGGATATTATTGTAACAGCTGTCACAAGTAACAGGAAGTTTAGAGTTTAAATCACTTTGTTACTTCAATTTATGGTTACTTGGCACCACATTAGTGTTGTACTTGTGAAATAAAATCAAATACCTTCAGGAATTTTTTAAATTTAATTTTTGGTAATGTTAAATCTAGGGAAAAGAAGGGGATATAATGAGTCTGTGTTAAGACTGGTTCATCCATTGAGTTGAGGTGTTATTATGCCCTTTTAGTACTCAAGCAATTCTAACATACTGAGTTTAATGTTTAGCTTTAATAGTATTTGTCTATGTGTGTATTGTTAATATGTAGCTTGCCCTAGCGAGCTACATAGGGTAAAACTGAGTAAAGTTGAATAAGCATTATTTCTGTGTCCCTGAAAAAAAAAATGCAGCACTCATCAGCAAAGCAAATAGTCCTATAATAAGATGCAGCTTGGCTTGCTGGAGTTTCTCAAGTCTTTGCAATACTCTGAGCAGTTTCTTCTCATGTCCTAATAGATCATTATAATGATATACTGAAGGTATGGGTTCTGCATACATCATCAGCTCTTTTTTTTCCCTCCACTCGATCACAGTTCAAATGTTTTCTGTGTGCTCAATAGTGTGGTCAAAACAAAAGCACAGAATGTTTGCTCTTCTACTTTCTGCAGCATTAAGAGTACCAAAGAATTAGAGTGGCTATCCCACAGACATAACTCAGCCTTATTTTGGTATGTATTCCCAATGCAACAGGAGGATCTACGGTGCTGAAACCTCCTAAAAATGTTGTCATTCTCTTACAGTACTCCTCCAGGATGCAAATGTGAAATGACATGCTGTGCAAAATCAAAAAAATGTGAGGTTGTTCACATTTTAACAGAATGAGTGAAACTTTGGCGATATCTGAGCCGAGCTTTGCTCAGAGAGCATTGGAGTGCAAAAGTAAACGTGCTGACTTTGTGTCTGTATGGATTTTAAAGGTTCTAAGGAAGGCTCGTCTGCTGCCTGGAGTGACAGACCGTGTCTTTGCTGTGGCTGAATGCCGTTTGCCCCTAATTTAGACAGTATATGGAATCTATTAATACATGATCTTGATCAGGGAAGCGCATCAAGAGTTTTCCTTAATGAATCAGTCAATCATAAATCTGCTAACACGGTGTTCATAGTGGGCACAGTGGGTCAGTCGCTGAAACTACTGCACACCCAGAACTTACAATACTGTAGCCACAATTTCTGTGGCTACAGTATTTTTGTTTGATGAACTGCCATCAAAAGTATCCAAGTGAGTAGAGTTTTCTTCAGCTCTATGTTAACTGGCTAAAAGTCGCAACTCCAGAGGCGGCTGGTGTTTGGAAATATTTCTGGTCATGATTCCGATCATTGTTAAATTTTGTTTATGTCAACAAGATATAAGCAGTTGGTGTCATTATCATAACTATGATAGTACGTTCTTGTTTTTGGAGGAAATAAGATCATGTTTCCTTTCTTACTAAAACAATAGCAGATTGTGTTGTACATTTTGTGTCATTACACCACATCTCCAGTTACTGTGACAACATCATTAAAGTGTCAGCCCCTTGGCATTTTTGTGTTAAAATCTCCAATGATGTACAATCCAGTGACCATTTCGTCAAGATTTTGCCTTAATGAGTTGGGCAAGGTATTGGCTATATGCCCCTGATTTCTAGAATACATACAGCTTTGTATGCAAAGATTAATACTGTAATGTTTACATGAACACAGCTGATCTACTGATGGTTTACACCAGGAGAAATCAGCATGCTCTTGTCCTGTGTAAGATTCATTCTGCACACAGACGTTCTCCTGTTTTTAATCAGGTTGTGGTTTGCAGCTGCCAACAATGGGCAACGTAAAGACGACGTTCCTCAAACATTTTAAATGTGTCTGCTACTCTTTTCCTTTGAGGATGTCCTTTTCCCTGCTTTCACTCATCAACGTTTACCTCAGACACTGTATTCATTTCCAACCTGCCCATCTGAGCCTCAGGGCTCGTTAAAATCGAGGCAGGGGAGCTGAAAGTCTAACGTGAACCTTACCCTACATGCCTGATGAACTACTTAGTACAGTCTTCAGTTACAAGGGGGATGTTATGGCACAGTGACCATTGTTCTCTTCGGCGGCCTTGTTTTCATCCTGAATTACTAACACATTAGCAACACTGTCTTCTACATGATCTAGGTTATGAAGCTTTTGTCAACACACAATTGCAGCCTTGAAAATATTTCCCTTATTGAGCTAAAAAAATTTAACGGTGAGTTAGAAAATCTCATGGAAAGGTTGTTCTTACTGTAATATTTGTTGCTTAAGGAAATTTTTGCCCTTAAGTTTTCTGCGTGCTGTTCGATGATTGATAACAGTTTCCTCTTTACTTTAGAAGAGAATGAGACGATCCTACAGATATTTTGGATACGCTTGATTGTGAGGTCAATAGTTGGATTGCCCTTGTTTGACGACTTGAAACATTTAGGTATGACAGAAAAGCAAAACCTTTGAAATATTTCAACAATACAGTATCACAGTGCAAAATCGAATTGGTTCCTCCCTGAGAATGTTTTGTACTCTGGTATTTAAAAACAAAACTGGAGGCTGTAGATGGTGAAATGAATATTTTTGTTGTGGTTCTTTCACAGAATGGAACAGACTACGGATTGCTGGTGCGTCAGAACTCAGAACTCCTGCAAGCCCTCGACGAGCTGGAGAAGACTTGCAACACACTGAGGGAAGAGAACGGCCTGCTGGTAGGACTAAAAATAACTGTGTGTGTGCGCGTACCCTTGATGAAAAGCTTTGTAGAAACTAGGCCAGGTCCACAAAACACTTAAAGAGATATTCCGACACTTTTTGTTTCTTCTTTTACGGAAATTAATTCAGTTTCGAAAATGTCAAATATTTTAGCCTCATGTCTTTATGGTGTACTGTGGGAGGCTTCTGACTTTAAATATGTCTATATATTAAACCCCTCCTCGGCTCATATGACTTAAAACCTGTTTGTTTGGCTGGTGGACCACTCACTGCAGACTCTTTGTGATGATGATAATTGTTTTTTGTGTTTTTAGCGAAAAAGCAGCGCCCCAGAGACTGAGGAGAAGGTCAGGCGGTTGAGGAGAAAGAACACCGAGCTGACTGTTCTCGCTAAGAGACTGGAAGAGAGAGCTCGCAAACTACAGGAGGCCAACCTCAAAGTGGTACACCACACTGATAAATATCGACACTTTCTTTTGCTGGGAGTTTTTTTTTTTTCAACTACTTAAAAAAAAAACAAAAACAAAAAAACGCAGCTTATTGTTGTCACAGTGCCTCACCAAAAGCTAAACAAAAAGTTGTTTCTAACTTCAAAGAAATAAATGATTCATCACAAAAACCAGTCAAACCAGCCAACCAGAACTTACATGCTGTGTTTTATCGAGATGCTTGAGAACCTTTCTTGGTATTTTAGTTGTTCCATTCTGTAATTAACACCTTGGTCAGTTTTGCCGTTTTAAAAGGTCTTTATAAATAAAGTTAGCTTGGCTTCGCCATGATAATGTTCCTGTAATCTGTGTTAATAACTTTCCCAGTTTAAAGGTCACATTTCCAAAGAGCTCTGGTGACTACTGGTCCCAGTAACAAGTTGATTAGTCGTCAGCATTTGCCAGGATGGATCAGAGAGAGCCACAAAGTCTTAACCCCATTTGACTATAGCATGTGTCTCTATAGATTCTCCCATTTTAGTTCAGCCACCTGGTAATAGCAATATATTACAGCTTTGCCTGTCAGCTTAGCTTAAATATGTGATACATGACCTGTGTTGTGGTAGATAACAGCCAATCAGTCTGGCTGTTGTGCTGAGAACCTCATCTAATGCAAACTTGAGAGATTCAATCTTTGGTTGGATTTCTCAGTTATGTGGCATTTCTATCTGTCTGTCTGTGGTGATGATGTCCATCTACCACAGACACCAATTGCTTATTGCAAAGTAATGGTTCATATGTTGGACCCTCAAGTGTTGATGGTTCATTCTCTGTAACACACACTCTCTTGTTTAGTTACTTATCTGACTCATCACATATGACTACATTCTTCAAAACTGTCCCACCGTTTTTACTCCTGCTGCTGATGTTTTCATGTTGAACAGTTTGTTTTTTGTGCTAGGCTAATGTTTTTGTTTTGATATAACTTGTTGGCTCAGTAATGTGTTTTTCACCAGGTTCCAGTTAATTGTGTAACCGGACAAAAGTTGCAAAATAATTAATTCTGCTTAAGAAAATGAATACTTGATTTTAAATAAAATAACATTTATCATGCTTCAGCCACTGTGTGAAGTTTTTAACAAAGTGAATGGAGCATGCAGAGCAGGCACAGAGGCAATGAAGCCTTTCTCCCAATGTGAACTTTGAAGATGGCCTAAAATGATTAGAGGAAAACCCAGATTTGATCAATAAAATAATTAGCATTAACTATGTTATTTCTTTTTTTTTTTCCTTACTACGCACATTAGTATTGGTTGTGATTGTAAATGAAAAAGTGTCACTGGAAAGTCAGTTGCTATAACATCCTCCAGTAATCCAACAACGCTTTTTGGGAGCTAAATTTTGCCAGTGTTGTCCACTGCAATCATTTCCAATGCATGTCTTCTAATCTGGATTTTTTGGGGGGGAAATTTAAAAGCGTATATGACTAATGTTCAATTACTTTTTATTCTATTGAATACTTTATCATGAAGTTATCTTTTCCAAATCTAGGTGAATCCTCCTTCGCTCATCAGACCTGCTGCTGTGGAACAGTGCAAAAGAGCTTTTGCCCGCCAACGAGCTCGTGACCTGGCCCAGCATGCTGATGCACTGCTCTCTAAAGACAAAGAGATTGCTGCCCTGCAGCAGGCGTGCAGGCAGCTCGAGGCACGACTCGGTCCAGCTAAGGTACATACATTTTATTTCATAGCAGTCAAAGTCAAATTATTTGGCCTAGAATGAGCTAAAACACCAAGGTTTTCAAACTCTTCTCCATCCAACCTGAGTTGTCATGTCTGCCACAAGGCTGCTCTCTGCTGGTCAGTTTGGGTACTGCACCATCCAACCTAAGCCTGCATTATAGAGGAAGCGTCACTGCTGAGGACAGATAGATGACAGTGCAGGAACAGGCTGACTGTCTCAGTGCCTGTTTGGAAATAGGAGCTGATTCTTCTTAATCTGAGCATCTGTTGGTTATAAAACAGAAAAGGTTTTCAGGGAACAAATACAGCTCAGTGACGACAAGATGTCTATGAATCAAACAACATTCAATTTTGACATCTAACTGAAATTAAGTTGGTCTTAACTTTTCATATCCACATTTGTTTCATGGGTTAGAACATTATTTTAATTCATTTTAAACTATAAAAGTAACAAAGATTTGACCATAATGGAGATCATTAGCTTTTCTTTAAATCGATGGAGTGTTTAGGCTATAGATAAAAAATTAACATTTTTAGTTCAATTTTCCTGGCATTATTTCAGATGTTGTTTCCTTGACTCTGCAGGATTCCTCGGTTCAGTCATCTCGGGTGGAATATGAGAAACTCCTCAAAGAGTCTCAGAAGGAGGTGCTGCGGCTACAGAGGCAGCTGTCTGTCACTTCGTCCAGGCAAAGGCCCGGCCTCAGGCCTGACTCCAATGGCACAGAGAAGTGTGAGGAAAACGCCAAAGAAGCAGGGCAAGAGAAGGTAAAAAAAAAAAAGAATGACACACAGCTAATTCCACGCTGACCCCTGCTTGCAGGGGAGTTATGAGTACTCACAGTAAATGTCCAGTTCTTATTGGACACCGTTTTGGTTTGCTGTCACTTGCAAACAGAGCAGATCAGAACAGTCGTTTCTGCAGCGCAGTCGCGGTTGAAGTTGTTGCCGGCGATGGAAAATGCCGGTCTCTGAGGTTTTCCAAAACCGTTGTTTACATTGGCATGGATGCCGTTTTTTCAGTGTTATGTAATGGCTTGTCTTTGGACTTGATACTAATCTCCCACAAGCCATAATGAGGCGATTCTCTGTGTTTAACTTGGGACTGATCAAAGCTACCGAAGTCATACACTCTGATCCTCTCTGCCTGTGATGCTGATGTTCTCTGTACTCACTTCTGTCCCACAGCACACTCTGGTATCAACCCTGAAGTGGAAAAAACCTCAGGCATGTTTCTCGTTGGTGCAATCTGCTTTCTACCTGTTAATAAAAGTATTGGTGTAGAAAGCATGAACACTCGCAGCAGTTTTCAAAATATTTAGTTCTTCTGTCCTTTTGAGGGACATGTTTTAAAGGCGGAGCATCCCTTTGGATGTAAATCACTTTACATAACATTAAAGACATTCATTTGATTTACAGATAATGTTATTGCAAATTTCTCCTCTGCCCATGAAATAAATACTCTCTGTGAAGCTCGAGTGAGAATGCCGATTGTGGTAATCTCTCATCTGTGGGACGCACACATGCACTCCCCAATGCCACGCGCACTCCCAGAAAGAGGCCATGTTGTGTGAACTCTAATCCCCTCCAACAACAGAATGGTACAGTCCAGTAATCCGCTCTCTGTTGCTGTAGCAGCGGTGAGAGGGTTTTGGATGGTAGGTAAGACTGCAGCCGCACTAAAGACTTTTCCATCTCGCCCTGCTCTGGATAACTAGCAGGCCAAGGGAAACCTTGACATTGCCACAGATCACACTGAAGGGGTAGGTTTGTGTTTTTTTCCTCTTAAGTCCTCATCTCTTTCTGTGTGGTTGTCAGCTATTTTATTCTGGTTCTGTTTGGCTAACTCCAACTGGGTCCATTCGGAAACTGTGCAGGACTAAAAGTAGGGGAGAAAAAAACTAAATAGCGTCATTACAAAAAAGGTTTGTGCAAAAAGGTTGTAAGATGTGAGATGTTAGACTTATGCTTAAAATCATTAGCTGTTTCCTTAATATTATTTCTAACACATTTGAACAAGTCTGAGTATTTCTTCAACTTACATTTTAGGAGATTTTTATTTAAATATCCTAGCTGTTTTTTTTTTGTTGTTGTTTTTTTTGTAAATCTGTGCACTAAAAACACTTACCTTTTTTCCTAACTGACTGCCAATTTCTTCCAAATCAGAAAGCATGAGGCCTAAGGAAGGGCAGCCTGGCAGGTACTGGGGTTTTGTAACTGTCTTAATGTGGAGCCTCCAGATGCAGAATTTAGACAGAACAAACCCAGGACGTCGTGACAGAGCGTTTGATAGGTGGACATCGATATGCTCCGCATTAAAACGAAAATCAACGGCCAGGCCAATCCATTAAGGTGCTTTTAAAAGAAGTGATCCAGTTACCCGTTTCAGTAGTCTGTGGGGATTACACCAATGTGCTTATGGCATTCAGGGCCTGCTGAATGGGATCTGGCCCTGCTTTAGTACACATGGGCCCAGGTTGTACTCGATTCTGCAGTGTCTGTGCATCACATCGGTGTGACTGTGTGGGCAAACGTAACCTAAACCTCAGCCATGTTTAGAGGGACTTGCTTTGGTCTCTGCAATTTAATAGAGACTCATCATTTCTTTATTCCTCTTCATTAAGGGTCATTTTTATCAACAGGCGACCTGAGTTGATTTTAAATATCGTTCATTACTTTTGCTATTAAACTAAAGAATGCAATGTTCACTTTGTGACCAGTCAATAAGGTAGATGTTGAAATCCGAAAATTTTCACATTATCGCCTCTGAATGACAGTCAACAAGTCAGATACATGAATAGTAAAGTGCTATGTTAATGCATAACTGGGGATGTTTTCAAAATCAGAATTGGCCTGAAGGAAAACTAGAAATTACACCCAACAATAAAGATCTGATCAGTGCTTCTCTGGTTCTGGGATCATTTCTGACATTTCTCCAAGATCCCAGAAGTAAAAATAGGTTTATGTAGAAGTGTTTCACTATTTACAACTAATAAATTCTGTGAATGAGTTTCAAGCTGCTTAAAGAAGACTCACTGAAAGGGTTTCTAGTAATTGTAAGCACAATCTCTAAATTATTTTAGCTCTTGTCTAGAATGACATAAAAATAATCACAGCTTAGCTTGAAAGGCAAACACAACTCTTATCCAGTTTAATTGTTGCATTGGCCAAAATGCATAAAAATCCCACAGTTACAGACAGGCATGTAAAAAGCATAAAAATGCCAAGGATTGTCCTATTTTTATAAAAATTTGACCTGTCAATACAATTTTAAGTCAGTTCCTTTTTTAAGCCCATTTTTTGTACAATAATAAAATGAAACATTCAAATATTTTTTCTGGCTTTCCAACTATAAACAGTTATTAAATAATCACTGCCAACATTAATGAAGTGGAAGATTCTGTGTGTATTTCAAAAGTAATGTAAACTATTTTCCACACTCTTAGACTTCCTTACAGCCGGTTACAAAATTTGCCAGTTTCAAATTGTCAAACAATTGAGTGCATCTCTTAAAAAAAAAAAAAAAACTCTACTGTGAAACATATTTTCTATTGATTAACATTCTTTGAGCAGAAAACTAAGGATATAAATTTGGTAAACAGATAAATAGCAAAAATGACCTATTCTCCCATAAAATCAAAATGGTAACATTATCATGCATGACTTTGAATTCAAATGTAAACATATGTGAATAATAGTAAAACAAGACTTGTCTCTTTTCTTTTTTTTATTCATTTTCTCAAAATACATTTCCAGATGCATGTTTTTGAAACTATTTGTAATCCCTTCGTTCTGGTCCAAGTGTATCTGAAGGAAAATTTTTTCAGAGTGAGATTCAGATGTTTTTCTATTATAAAATAATCATGTTAAACTGTTTGTATAAAATAAAAGCGTAAATGTCCTTTACTGACGCATATTAAAGTGAGGTTCGAGTACCTACGAATGTAAATTTATGACAGAAGCTTTTTGATCAGACGCGCTCCGTTCCTTTTTTCTCCCCCTCACCACTGTATAAACAAGAGCTTACATAATATTCGGCTCTCTGAGGTTATTCACCTAAATCATGTTAGGTTTATATCTCATGGTGCCCGAACACTGATTATATCCGCTTCGAACCTATCATTTCAGAAAAACAGTTGCTCTTTTTGCAGAGAACAACGTGAGGATTACAGAATATGACATATTTATAAACATCCAATACAGCAGAACAGAAACGGGTCAGCATGAGATTCTCACTGTATCATAACCTTGAGAGGAAAGTACAACAGTTTTACTTACGGAAACACTTTAACAACACTGTGTAACATAATCTAATTTCTTTTACAGTCATTTTTTTATTTAAAAGAGAATTGACTTAGTAAGAATGACTTATTTAATTTTTATATCATGACTGTGTTTTTTATAATACTAAAAATACAGCTCAGTGTGTCCTTTTAACTAAGAAAAAAATCTGCATTTTTTTTTTTTCCAGCCAGCTCATCAGCACTGCACAGGATGGAGATTGTGTCTATCACAGGGCAACACAAATAGACAACAAAAAACACAAACACATGCTCATAAATAGGGAAAATTTTGATCAATTAAACAGAAAGTCATGATTTTGGACGGTGAGAGAAAGCCGGAGTTCCCAGACAGAACCCGTGCCTGCATGGAGAAGACATACAAACTCCATGTAACTTTCACTTTGACAACTTCTCCAAAGTGCGCCTCTATGCAACCAGAGAAAATACCATCACTCTATCATTTTCTCTGCCATCTCATGAAAAGAACATTGGGGGGTTTTGTAGTCTTTAAAAACTTAGCATACTTGAGTACTGGTAACCAACCTATGCCTATTTCAGACTTATTTTAACTTAAAATAGCAGTTCATTATGTCATAAAAAGCTGGAAAAATGTGCTTATTACTGAGAATCAAAATGTTGCGGTAATCTTACACCGAAAATACAAGCAAGCGCATAGCATCTTGTTGCACCAACTTAAACTTGCCTAATCAGTGTGTACAGTATGAAGTGTTACAAGCTTATTAGGAATCCCTTGAGGATTGACTGGGGTAAGTATGTCTGACCAAATACAAGATGGGAAATTTGCCAGTGATCTCTGCTACCCTGTCATCCCCGATGTGACAGAATGTGCAAACACCTAAGCCAGGAATGGAAAAATTACAGAATGTAGCTGTTCTTTCTGCAGGAGACTCGTTTTCAGGCGCCAGTGGATTTACTGCAGCCTTTTGCCATTCGCCTCTAAACCATCTGGTCTTTTATCCAAAAGATAAACCTGAGATACCCTCACCTAACTGTATAGGCAAATCACAGATTAGGTTCTGAAAAGTCAAAATCACTTATCAGCTTCAAGTGAAACAGTACCCTACACACAGGAAGACTGTTTGTATAAAATAAAAGAGTAAAGCAATGAATAGGCCTCTCTTTCTGCACGTGGCAGAGCATCTTAGATCCTGTTATTGGGTCACGGCCTTGGCTGCACTAGCACAGTTTTACTCAGAGTATTAGTCAGTTTGTTCTAAAATTAGATGCTGATTGCCGATCCTTGACCAGTACAAATATTTCCTTCAGCTGCACCTCCAGCTGTGGAATCATATCAGGGTTATCAGGGTTTTTTAAGCAATAAAATATCCTTAATGAAACATGCAAGTCTCTACACTTTGGCTAATTAATGAGGACAGTCTTACTGCCAGTGTGTCTCAGTCATGTTGGAGGCTCAAGGGATTCCCCTGGATTATTCTTTGATTGTAGTTGGACCACTTGGAAAGAGGTTCAGATCTAATCCCACCCCCCAGCCCCTCTTGCAGAGTTCGGTTTCACTGCTCGGTCTTGTCGCTACATCGACTGACTATACATTTTGCTGCTTTTTGTCGCTAGGTTTTAGGAGAGCCCCCGTGTGTGGCATTAGATGAAGCTCCATCCAGGTGTGAGAAGACTCCGGCAGAGGCGGGGGAGTCGTGGCTGCAAGTGACGCCCCCACCGGGCCTTAGCCCGACCTCCTCCCACCAGGAGGAGCCCACAGAGGAGCAGCGACTACAGTTTCTGGTAAGATCAGTTTGTTTTAGTTCTCATCAGCAAAAACATCAACCTTTCTAAATAAAGGTTGAGATGCATTACAGCTGACAAATTCCATTTTGGTCATTTAGATTTTGTGTTTTTCCTGTGCAAGTTTAAAGTTACAATATGTTATTTTTCACAAAAAATATGTATTTTACATATTTGTTAAAATTATTACTGTCATGATAGTATCACAAGATAATCTATGGGGAAAAAATCAAGCTCCTCTGCCTTCTACCTATGGAGCTGCTGTCATTTTAATGAATACACCACTCCTGGTCAGAAACAACCAATCACAGCAAAGCGTAGGGTCATACCGCTGTCAATCACTCTTGTGTATACACCATTCACATCCTCTTGCTTGTTCTCCGCTATCCTTCAGCTAGTACACTACAATGAAGCCTGCCACAAATGCTAGTTAGCAGGGCCACCGATAACTACCGGATAATGAGTTTCCTAAGTTGTTTCTAGCCGTTACCAAATTGAGCAGCGCTTATGCGAGGGTAATTAACAGTGCCAAGACCTTCCTCCTGGCTCTGATTGGCTGTTTTTAACAACCGTGAATTTTGCTTAGATTGCAATAGTAGCACTGGGAGAAGGTGGAGAAGTTCGATCTTTTCACATATTGTCTGTCTCATACTATGCTGTCATGACATGCTAACACATATGTAAACAATATATTTTTGTAAAAGTTACATACTGCAGCAGAAGTGCTTTGGGAATATGAATGAATGTGGCCAGGTTTAAAGAGCATGTTCCAGAAATCTCATCTCTGCTCTACTTTACCTCCAATTTTAATTTAGCCTTGCTTGTTTTACATAACTTTTGTCACAAATAGATTAGCATTCAACAAACTGCACTAAGTACAAATCTAATGACTTCCTCAACATGGTTAAATGCTTAAGTTATTGCAGCAGCAGATAGAAGTTTAGTGATTCAAAAGGTTGCTAAATACATTGGTACAACAAACTTTTATACATTATATTTGGATTTATTGTGATAGTAGTATGTAACTGTGAGGTGGGAGGAAGAAATGTTCTTTTCAACATGTTTTGCCAATATATTTTAGAACCAATTGTCGCTGCAATTAATAAAGCTTTTGGGGCATTTCCTTTACATCTGGAGAATGACTATTTTGTGCATTCTTTTTAACAAAGCATTTTAGGTACAGACAGATTTTGAAATCCTAAGACAGATCGTCAATTTAGGTTTGGACTTAAGAAAAATCGCTCTATCACATGAATGTGGTCAGATAAAAACCTTTTCACTGTAGCTGTAAGTAGTTGTCCTGCTGGATGTTGAAATCTTGTATTCAGTTCTCTCCATCTTCTGTCAACTCTGAACAGCTTCCTTCTCCCTGCAGAATAACGCTGCCACTATCTTGCTTCGCCATGGGATGATATACTCAGCGTTTAGTGCAGTGATTTTCACCGTATTTAGTGGAAGATAGATTAGATTCGATTTTTGTGTCGTCTGACCAGAGCACATTCATTCACATGTTTGTCACCCTATTTTTTTTTCATCAACAGCTTTTCCTCTTGCCTCTCTGAGTGAACAGTTTTTTTTTAATTTCCATCTGATCTGCGGTGCTGGTCTTTGATAGCCTCATAATTTTCTATCTTTTCACTTTTAGTCATCTTGTACTTGACTTTTTCAGTGATGAAACAGTGAGTTTATAATTAATTATAATTAATTCATAATATCTGTTTTTACAACTGAAATTAAAGCAATTTCCAATCTTCTATTCATAATGTAGTCTAAACATATGATTTTATGACTATTATAAATAATATTTATCACAGGAGGTCATTAAAATTTTTTCTGTCTTGATTTTGTGGTTTTAGCAAGACATTGTAACCTGGAAAGCCTTATTAATACTTTTGCAATACTTTCACTTTTCAATAGAATCTGCGGTAAAATATAAACGTTCTCCTAATTTCAAATCCCTTTTCATTCCACTTTCCATTTCCTGTGAATCTAAGTCCTATATCAGAGTCGCTACTGAATGTCACTAATGGAAAGAGTACAGTCAGGTTTGCTATGTAATTGCTGTGTGAAATATTTAATAGAAATATTTTCTCTTAAAATGGAAAATCAAGGATGTTGGATTAATTATTCATCTTTTATCAACCATGTTTTTGCTTTTAATCTAATAGTAAATACAAGCACAGCCGTCCAGTGGCTTTAACTGAAAATCAGGTTTGAGTACGGACATTAAGCAACGATGAGCCGTTTTCTGTTCTTGTTGCTGAAAAGACGCAATATAAATCTAGCTGGGCAAATTGGAAAGAGCATTTTTATGTTTTAAATAAAACAAGATGCTGTACAAGATCCCTCTTCTACATAATGCAGACTACGTTTGCTTGTTAAAACTTTTTTTGTTATAATTTTTTGGTCACGTCTGGTTTGGGTTGTTTAAAGATCATGTGCAGTTGCAATGGCTGTAGAGGTGCAGTAATCAAGGTTCTGTTTGCCAGCGCTAATTTCCAGTATTCTTTAAGGGATTTATTTTTTTTAACATGCACACTCACTTTAATTCTTAAATGAAATGTGTAAAAAGACTGATTGTGAAAGACGTACCCCCATAGAATGACGTGTTTGCCATTTGTATTTGTCTGAATTTGAGAGAAAATGAAGGGATTACAATATTATCCCTTTAAATTCAACATTCCACAAACATATGTCACAAACCTTGATTTGCTCTTTTTTTTTTTAAACCAAACTAAATAATCTACACGCATGCTGTTTGTTGATCTGTTCATAGACTGAAGAAGGTGGATGGTTACTTTTATTGTAACAATCATGTTCTTAGTTTCCAGGTATTGAACTTGAGCTTTTAAATGGCTTCCTATTAAGTAATGGAATGATTAAAATCACAGAAGTCTGTGACACCAGACACTTCCTCTGACCTCATGCTTTAGTTTTTAATACCAAAACCGCTCAGACTATTCAAAAGCTTTTCTTTGCCCTTTGTGGTGAGTGAATTTGCATGTCACACAGTCTCTATGAGAGGTTTTGCTGTAAAATAAAATTTTGCTGTTTTGTATTATATTTTTATTGTTTTATGAAAAAACAAAATGATTACTGGATTGACATTTTAAAATGACGTTAGCATATTTTATAATACTTATTGGTAGTATAAATCTTTACTATGACATGAGATTAGATTTTAAAATCCAGCTTCTTCTGCTGCAAAGGCTGGAAGCTCAAATAGATAAAAATGGGCAACTTTAGTTTACTCTGCTCAGCCTTCCTATTAATTTCTCAACGTTATGCTCTCTCTTTGAAGAGCATGTGTACTGTATAAAATACAGTTCCAAACGGCTTCCTCAGTTTCCAACTTCAATACCGAAAGTAGCTAACTTTGATCTGTCTTCCATTCAGTAACAGCATCCGCACTGAAGAGTGTTTTAGCGTCTGGGTTTGCTGTGTTCTGACTGGAAAAAAGATCAAGTTTGAGCAGCTTTGATCGCCGGCCACAGCTGAACATCAGGCAGCTGCTCAGAAACTTTTGCTGGTGGTGACAATTCCTGTAAACCAGTGTGTGCGGGCATCCTTTAAAGTCTTGACTTTCTGTATCTAATATTAAGGTCTTAAAATGTCTTAATTTAATTTGAAAATAATAATAATTCAGTTGGCATTAAACAAGTTAATCATAGGTCTTAAATTTTTCCCGCAAGACTCTTCTTTCAGTCAGAAGTTTGACATCTTAATTGCGTTCTGTGATTCAAGGTGATTGAGGCTGCAGCTAACATACCCTTGCTAGCTAGCATGATTGCCAACCATACAGTTGTAGATGCATTCTGTGCCAAAAGCTTGTCTCTATGGGTGATAAGTCTGCAGAGAGCCTAGCAAAATATCTGATTTTCCTTTATACATTTCTGTCATGATGCAGATCTTCAATTTCATTCACAGCAGTCTTTAAAAAGTCTGGAAAAGACTTAAATTTGAAACATGTGGAAACCATGTTAACCCAGTTGACAGCCATTGGACTAGTTAAAGGAAGAGCAGAAAACTGGCGTATGCTTTAAGGATAGCTGCTCTATATACAACAGGACATCCTGACTCGGTACACATCATTCTTGTCCTCAGCGCTGCGACTGACACACAATCAACCAAATCGGACCACAGATTGCGTTTTAATTATCTTTATTGTCTTGCCGTGTCATCGCTAGTGACAGTACAATATCTCTTCCAGTCAGCTGCTTGTGGTCAGCAATTAGCCAGTGTGCTCTGTAGCTTCCCCCCCATGCAGTCGATAGGTAATGCTTCATTCAGACCCTGTGGCCGTGCTGAAATAAGCTGATTTCTGCTCTGCTTCTCCTGCATGTAAGCTGCATTTAGAATAATTAGAGGATGGTAAGCTTTGTAATGCCTCTGCAGTGTTGTATCAGAGGTCGACAAGGAAAGTAAAGTCGGTGTATTCTGTTTTGCATCAAATTATGACAGTATGAACGTGCGCTCTAAAAGTATTCTTCATATCCCTCATCCGTTTTCTCACCCTGTCAGCTTTCAACCACTGTTTAATCTGTTTTATTGCGATTGTTTGGCAGACCGACACAGACGTTGAATCATTTAAAGTGGTAGAAAAGTGAACTGAGAGTTTTATTTCATAAAATAAAAAATCTAAAAGTTTATCATGTTGTTTTTCTTCAGCAGGGAGAGGGAAGCTGGTCAGATTACGGAAGAATAAAGGAACTGAATGATAAAAGAAAACTTGTCAGAGGGAGCACAATTTTATAGCAATATTTTGCTACACTATTGTGATAACAATAAAAATTGTGATTTGCAAAAAGAACTATCACTTTTTTTTAGGTAACTGGGTGGCTCTGACTCTATATCACAGTATTCCTAATGCCACAAACAATACTACTGTTCTTGAAAAGTATTCCCACTTGAAAGGGGGATTTGTACTGATCTTTTTATTTTTTTAAATTTACAGATATCTGTCAATGGGTTTGTGGAACAAACAGTAGAGAAAATAGTAAAAATATGTTTGTTTGTTTTTTTGACTTTTTTTTTAATAATTCAACATCAGTAACTGCCATTTATCAAGACGGCAATAAATTTAAAATTCTTGCGATCATTAAAAAATAAGTTTGTAATAAATTATAAATGATAATGCCCACATCTAGTGGCAGGGTGGCCCAATCAAATCCATGCCTAAATCTAATGTTTAATGTGTGGTAACATTTTAAAATTAATGCTTTTGCACTCTGCCTGGACTTTTGTAAAGGAAAATTTAAGTCTCAACAAGTTGCTGCTATAAGAGAAAGATGATTCAACAGTGTATTGGTCCAGGGGAGAATGCATGCCACACTTTTAAGATTTTAATTTCTAAACAAATAAATAAATAAAACTATAATTTTTCTTTCCACTTCACACATATTGGCCACTATATGTTGGTCTAACATATCATTTCTTGTTCTGAAGTGACAAAATGCAAAGAACATTACTTTTTCAAGACACTTGTTTGTTAATAATTTATTTTATATTTTATTTGCATTATATGTTATATTTCTTTTTTTATATCACACATGTCAGAGATTATTTTGGACTGATTATCCATAACTGTCATAATTTTTGGTCCAGGAACGGGAGCTGAGCAGGAAGAGAAAAGAATGTGAAAATCTTGAGCATGAAGTAAAGAAGCGACAGAAGAGATGTCTGGATTTAGTAAGAAAACATCCTTCGGTTCTCCCGTGAGCTGCTGTTTTACATTTTAAAGACAAGGGGAGTCTGAAGACTGGTCTTGTGTGTCCAACAGGAGAACCAGCTTGAGGATGAGCGAGGCAAAAATGAGCAACTAAAGGAGGAGGCAGAACTCCTCAGGAGGAAGGCGCAGCTGCTCGACCAGGTCGGTGTTCAACCAGTTCTGTCCCAGTCGGGTTGATGCAAGGAACTCACTGGGAACAAGTCGGTTAACTCGTTGCTGTCTCTTAGACTCGGGCTGAGAATGAGGAGCTGAGGGAAGATCTCTCTGAAGTGACCGCTCAACACAATTCAGTTCTCGAAGAGAACCAGAGACTCCGTGCCAAACTGGAGAACCTAGAGCAGGTCCTAAAGGTATCCCATTGCACGTCTTACACCTCTTCACTGCAAACACACAAAATCTTACCAGTATTTTTGGTCTAGTTTCTTGTGCAATTGTCTTATTTGAAATGAGGTAAAACTGACTTTAAAGTGCCTTTTGAGCAAGATATCAGAGCTTATTTAAGGTCAATAATTTCTTAATAGTAATTTAAACTGTACTAGTTCCACTGGCAAATGATTTCACTTATAACAAGAGAAAAATGCCATTTTATAAGTCAAATAATCCAGAAATGTTATACAAACAATTTGAAAATGGAACTAGTACTTTTTTAAAATCTCAAGGAATTATTGACTTAAAATAAACTCCTTTATCTTGCTGAAAAAGTTACTTATATCTTACTCCACTTATCTCAAGTGGAATAAGATATTTGCATTAGAGACTAGACCAAAAATACTCTGTAAGATTTTGTGTTTTTGCAGTGTCGTATGATTTCAGCTTGAATCTTAACCACGACAATTTAAATGTTTGAAGTGGATTTGTTTATTATTGTTGCTGTTGTGTTGTTTTTTTTCCCCCTTAAAGCACATGCGAGAGGTCGCCGAGCGAAGGCAGCAGCTGGAATTGGAACATGAGCAGGCACTGGCTATCCTTAAGTTCAAACAGGATGAGATCAAAAGGTTACAGAGGGTAAGAAACACACCGTCATGAACACTGCATATTCCCAAAAAATGTCTCTTGATAAAAGTTGTTTCATAAGAAAATGGGGTGTTTTGTCCAGCAGGAGGCAACCTTAGGGCATATAAAAACTTTTTAATCTACCTAGTCTACTGTGCTGCAAATTATACATTTTTTTAACATATTAACAGCCAACTTTTATATTTTTTTTCTTATTAGGCTCAGTTATTTGCCAAGAGGGAACATGAAGGAGTTGTTCAGATGCTGGAGGTGAGTTTGTTTAACGCCACTGTGATTCCTACACATATGTATGTAACCAAATAAGCACATTTATTTTACACCAAGCAGCACTTCTATTGCCACTGCAAACACGTGAGGTGCTTATGAGAAGTTAGGTATTTATAAAAACGATAAAAACAAAGGCAGTGAAACAATGTAAAAGAGCTGAGCTCACGGTTTTACAAGAGATCTCCTCTTGAATTCTCCTTTGGATTTGAATTGAACAGATGGCTTCTCTGTCGTTTAGTGACTTTCTTACTCGCTCTGAGCTTCACTGCAATACAGTTTGTGTAAAAATAACTCAAGCCAGCCGTTAGGCAGTTAGAAACTCAGTCTGATTGGCTGCTAATTTTGAATTTAAAAAAGAAAAATCATTGAGTCCTTGTTGTATCGCGATGTGACTCGCTGAAAGGCAAAATGTCATCATCGTCTAAATTTGAGCAACGTACACGTTTGTCATCAGAGCTGCTCATTTTGCTGAGAGTTTGTTCCTTAAAGAAAGTGTGTGTTTTATTTTAGGACTTGACTCAGCTCGTGTTCCAGAGGGAGCTGGTAGGGTATAATTGCTCCTCGCTCCCTTCCTTCCTTCTCGGCTCCTCTCACTTTCTCTCGCTGTCGTTTTTTTTTTTTTCTTCTTTTTTTAAAACCCAAGACAATCATAGGAGAAAGTCTCTGTCCCCTGCAGAGAGCGCAGGCTTTGTCACGAACTCAAAACGCGGCCATTCCCAGTCTGCTAAAGATGTGTTTTGGAGAAAATACCGATCTGGAATGTGTTCATTCGAATGCCAGATGTCGGCTGCTGAGGGCCACGAGACATTCTAGTGATTCTGGCTTCCAACAACATGGATTCAAGCTTCTGCTTTTTCTACCTGACTAAAATATATTTTGTTCCTTCCAGTATCCCCCTTTTTTTTTTCTCACGCATGTGTTTTGTGTTTGTAAACCTCTGTTTGTCCTTTGCTTCCTTTTTTTGCTAACCAGAGTACGCTGGACTGCATGCAGGTACTTCCTGACCTCCTCAGACCAATGATCCGCAAACCCTAACCTCCCACGTCGCTCACTGAGTTGGGAAAACACGCCTCAGCTGCTTTTAGTTTAACCCCCTCACAATACTGCACACCGTCCTACCGCCTTTTGTGTTCAACAGTGTCGAGTAACTAAACTCTTGTTCAAATCAGGCCAATCACCTGAGGTCAAAAACATATCTGTGACAGTTTCCCAGAACATTTACCGTGTTTGGTTCATCTTTCCTACATGTGGACAACAAAACAGATTGTTGTTTGTCATCATTTTCGCTCGGGGCTTAAAAGATGATTTGTGCCCGGGCTTTAGGTAACCACTGATATGTGTAGGTGAGAGCTAACAGGAAATGTTGTTCAGACAGTTTCAGCCTGCAGCTTTTGTCAGACCAAGCCCGCTTGAAAACTCCCACCACAGCCGGAAGTGAAATCAGCCGCATATAGAAACTTGAGCTGAGCTGTGAAACCCCTTCTACCTCCCTACCCCCCAAACCCTCCTTGCAAAGCTATAGCAAACCTGTTTAAGTGGGTGTGAGACAGAAGCAACATGTCTCGCTTTCTGCTCTCTCGAAGATTCCCTTATATTTTCTATCATAACCGTCCCATTCTTCTTATTTACCCGTTTTTTTCCCCATTAATTCTTAAAATGTTTGTCATGTCTCGTGTGTGTTTGTGACTTGGAGTGTGTGTTTTTTTATTTTTTATTTTGAAGTTATTTGTCTAGTCACCAAAACTTCTGTAGGTTTTGTGAGTTTGTTTAGGCCTGTTACAAAAACAAATTTTGCAGGAGGATAAATCTTCCCAGAAGTTTATTTATTTAATCTATTTCAAACGTGATAGAAGTATAAAATCACACACATGAACAAGTTATGCAATTACACATACTGTATTTGTGTACTACAATAATCTTAACATCCTCAAAGAGGCTTAGGAAGAAATAAAACTATTTCTATTATTGCGATAAATGATAATATTGTCGTCTTGAGACTATTTTGAAGTAGCGTGATGTTAACGGCATAATAATGCAAGTTAATCCTCTCAAAGATCTATAAACTTTTAAGTTTTAATAAACATTTAAAACTTGGACTTGAAAACATTTTAAATATGGAAAACAAACAAACAAAATAGAAACTAAAGTCTTTGCAAAAGCCTTTTTGTCATCCAGTCTTTGGTAGAAAGCGAGACATGAGAAGAACTAAACCATTTGAATTGATTGATTTTGTTTCAGTTTATCTGCCTATTAACTGATTTATAGCTTATTGCGACAGGCTTAGTTGTGTGAAATTTACCGTGTCCAAAATGTTGCCTTTGATTACACAAAAGAGTTTTGCACTGACATAGGAAGGAAGATTATACATTTCTTCAACAAAAAGATATCTAAAAGGTTTTGCATCCATTTATTTTTGATATATATATTTTTACACTGGTGCTCCTAAATAAATAGCTCTGGCAAAGCTGCAGAAATCATCAGCTTAAATGGAAGATGCGAAACGTAAAAAATAGTGGTGGCAGCGTCGTATGGTGGGGATTTCCTTTTCTTGAGGTAGGTTAAAGTTGGTGCTAAATTGGCTCCTGAACATTGGAGTCTGAACTGAATATACAGACAGAGCTGTAATGCAATGATTTTAGAACAAACCATGTGAATGGCCTAGTCAAAGTGGAGATTTAAACTTATAATCTGCAATAACAACAGAACTTTAAAACTGCTTTTCAAAGATGCTCCCCACTCAATCTGACTGAACTATTTCTCAAGCAATTCAGTCTCTAGATGTGTAAAGCTAGTAGCGAAAATACCTGCTGCTGTAATTGCAAATAGATTTTTTTTTAACTCGTCTAGGCTGAATACAAATGCACTCCACACGTTTTAGAGTTTTATTTGTACAGCAAAACTAATCAAGCTATGCTACATTTTCCTTTTATTTTACAATTATGCATTACGCTGTGTTTGTCTGTGGCATAATAAAATTTATTGAAGTTTGCTGTTACGGAGCAACTAAAGGGCAACCAAACATGCTGAAATATGGATGTGGCCGGTTGTTATTTTTACTGCAGCATCTCCTAAATGTGTCCGTGTTGCATGCAGTCGAAGGTACGAGAGCTGGAGGAGAAATGTCGCAGTCAGAGTGAGCAGTTCGGCCTGCTGTCCCAGGAGTTGGAGAAGTTCCGGCTGCAGGCCTCCAAAGTGGACCTGGCCAGTTCCACCCTCCTCAACAATGCCAGCCTCTCAGTTTTGACCAATGGGGTGGGCCTGACTACAGAACGAGGTGAGCTGCAAAAAGCCTTTCCCTATTGTCTGTTTCTTCCTGCTTTATACATTAGTGGACTTTTAAGATTTTGCCCCCTCAATGACTTTATTGCTATGTGATCTAAATCATTTCATTGTACCTCTGGTCGGAGGATCGACGTTTAAGTAAGAGGTTTCCTGGATCCCCCAAAAAACACTGAGCAGATTCAGCAGATTTCCTGTTCCTGCTGAAGGAAAGCAAACCTACAGCATGATGCTACCAGCATTATATTTTATTGTAGAAGACGAGGTTTGCTCATATGTATCATTTTGAACTTTCGTCCTTCCACCTGTTGGTCGGCTCCTGGCAAACCGTAAAAAAGAATTCTGGTCACATTTCTCCAACAATGTCTTGCTTTTTAATGTCACTCTTTCTTAAAGGACATATTTGTGGAGTGATGCAACCAACTAACCCGTCTACAGGTTCTCCCTCAGAGAGGTGCATCTCTACAGCTTCTCCAGAGCTGCCATGGGCCTCTTGGCTGCTTCTATGATTAAGGCGGGCAGCCATGTGTTGGTTGACGAGTATGGGTGGGTAGAACTATCGATTCATCAATGCATTGCGATTAATGTTTTCCAACTCAATATCGATTTGGTGTGTTTGTGCCATGGTGAGGAACGCTCCCGTGAGCTCTGCGCACGATCTGGGGACGTTTGAGTGTTTACGGGAAAGCCTGCCTCTTCCGCCATTTTCCGCACTTTCTGCTGACAAAGAACAGCGCTGAATAGCAGCTAGCTTGATGAGCCAGATGAGCAGCTTGGGCTTTTTTTTGTTTGTTTTTTTTTACCAGCAGGCATCCATTGCAGACCTGCAGGCTGAGATGCTGCACGTCCTTACTACCTCATTACTCTATCAGCTCGGTGTCACGTGTAAACGAGTTGATGTGAAGTAGTCTTCATCGTCTTCATTTCTTTGGTGGTTGGCAAACAGCTGTTCGCTGTGCTTTACCACCAACGGGTGAGGTGGGTCACATACGCTTAACGTTGATGATTCAATAGTGATGTGAATTATCTCAGTTTCCACAAGAAAAAGAGAATTAAGTTTAAGTACACTTCACTTTTCATATAGTAACTTTTATTCTCCATATTGATCACAAGGGTGGTGCTGCTGTTGCTGTGCTATCATGATGGTGATGTGTACCACTATGGTTGTCAATATGGGCAGGAAAAAACTAATAAATGACAATCATTAATACGTAATCCACTGAATTATCACTAAATCAATATCGTAGGATTTAAAGCAATATTGAATTGGATTGATATTGAATCAACAACGCCCCTTACAAAGATTTAATCTTCTCCCTAACCTGTCTGTTCTCGATGATTTTCCTTCATAGAACAGCTGCAATCATGCTGACAATAAATCAGACACAGATGGATTCTGTTTACTAATTAAGATTTTTGCGTTTTTTTACTTTTGTTTGACCTAAAACTATTTTAGGCACTACTGTTGCAATGGCTGCTGTTGTCAGTAATGTGTATCCTCTTGTCGTTCGCTCTGTGTGTGTCTGTGTATTTCTAACATTACCTCCAGCCACAGCTGCCTTGAAATGTAACAACACCGCTTGATTTGCTCCGCTCCTTTCGTCTCTCTGCCGAGTGTCTTTATGCTGCTCTATGCTCTCTATGTGTTTTAGACTGCACTGGTGGCACTCTGGACATGGTGTCTCTGGGTGAAATAGCCTTCTGGAGTCTGGAGGGAGGTGACACTCTCTCCTGCCCGGAGGGTAACGATCCACTCGGTACGCTCTCTGTCTCTGTTCGTCACGATGTCACTTAAAGCACGGCACGTTCCGATCCGTCATCTCACCCGCACCGTCATCGTTTACCGGGCCTGCTCTTGTTTCCCATCATCACATGTTGGCGAGAGTCGCCACTCGGCGTTTTAAACGTCTGTGGAGCCTAGAACCTGTTAAGCCCCTTAACACGGCTGGTGTGTTTCACAGCGACACAAGGTGGCATGACCTCCAACCTCAGACAGATGGAGACCGGATTTTTTTTTTTCTTCCCCCCCTGCACTGTTTTAATCAGCCATGTTCAACCTTGAGCTGCCTGCATGCCGCCCAGTGATCTCACCCACCTGGCAGGTCGCAGACAACCGGGTTAACGTGCAAGGACATGTTTTATCCTCTTCCTCTCTCTCTTGCTAGATGTGGCCGCTGCTTTGCGCAGGGGGTCCACGCCGCACGCAGCAGGACTCTCCAGGGTGGAGCGCTCGCCCGTCACCAAGCACCGAGAGCTGCCCACCATCAGCGTCAGCAAGTCGGGGTCTTCCTCCAAGTCAGAAACCACGCACCTCACCCCCAAATCTGACACCCACCTCAGTCCACACAAATCCAGCCCAACGCATGAGGTACCCCGCACTTTCTTTTCAATTTTGATGTCTTAACTTCTGATAGTCACAGTGAAGCCAAAAAGATAATTTATTAATGGAAACTACAGGAAGTTTCCATGGTTCAGGTTAAATCTGGTTCAGACCATGAAATATGTCTAATATGATACCGGTAAGCTGCAAGGGTTGATTTATTCTTTTTATTCCGTTATTCATGGAACTGTTTTGGAAAAATACAACTTTAGCACAATGTACACACTGCAATAGTTTTCCTCAGCATCCCATCAGTTAATTTTTTGAAGCAAAAATTAACCCCCTATGGACTGAGAATAGCAGCTTTGTCACCCATCGTTGTTGTTTGCAGATGTCGGTTGTGCATCAGATTTACTGATCTTCCAGAAACGTGCAAATACAAAGGTTCCGGCCAGAACCCGCCTGTCATCTGATGCAAGCACGGACGCAGCTGATTACGCAACTCCTACTTCTGCTCACACACATCTGATAGACATTTGGGGATTGCTGCTTAGGCTCTGCAAAGTCAGTTCCTACATGTCGGTGGTCCGTTTATCTAGTCACCCGTCAGCCCCCAAAGCTTATATTTAGTGAGATAATCCACTCGGCACTGTGGATTATGAAGGTTATACAGTAGTAGTTGTGGGTGATTATCTCCCACAGAACTACAAATACGGCATCTTCTATCGCTGCCACTATTTGAAATAAGACATCAGGTATCCAGTTGGTTAGTGACTAATTTAAAAATTAGTCACTTTCATTTAAAATGAAAGCTCTTCCTGCTGAGCCTTGCAAAAGACATTTTCTAAATGTCAGATAAAGTAGTATAGGCAAAGTAGATCCAAAAATATTATTATTTTTCAGTCTGTTGATATGATTGTAAACCTTGGAAGTAAACTCGGGTTATGTTTCGTCCTGTTTTTTTTTTTTTGTCTTTGCTTCACTTCCTGTAATTACTCTCAGTTGAGCACAGTGGTTTCCTTTACAGTCATCTCTAAACAGCCAGGTTGTTATGTCTAGATAACTCGCATAGATAACTCATTTGCAGTTGTCTCATGTAAAATGTTGTAGTGTGATTCGCCAAACAAAGGCAGTATTATGCAAGATCAACTTTTTATTTTTCATTCCAACATGAAAAATACATGTAAAAACTTCTTGCTTTGGCTCATTTATGCATGTTTGAGAAACCCTTGAATCTCCCGTGGCAACCATTTCGGGATGCCTAAACCTCTGCTAATTCAATGCGCCGTCTATGTCCTTAAACCTCCATCTCTGCACCTCCCTCACTAAGCTCCTTCAGACTAGCAGCAGCAGTAATTAGCAGACACCTTGTGGAAATACACGTCTGCTGAGCTCCTAAAACTGGTTGTAAACGGCTTCGAAGAACGGCAGCATGGAGAAGCGCTGCTGTAATGATGTGCTAATGGTGAAGTGTCAGAAGGAGTAGGAGGATTTTAAAGAGACAGAGACCAATTTTAATCGGTCAGATATGGTTTCGATGTCAAATTTCTTTTTAACTCTGTTTGATACAAACGGCATTTTTATAACAACTGATGGTAAACTACTTAATTAATTGTAAAATTGCACCTTAGAATACATCATATCCCACATTGAAGGTGTTAATTACTGATTCCCTTTACTTTTACCCATTTTAAGGATTAATTGTTTCCCTCAGGTGGACACAGCCAGTGAAGTTGAGGAGTTGGACATCGATGTGGCCCCGGCGCCGTACACAGCCAGCAGGGGAGTAGCAAAGCTTCAGGTTTTTATTGCCAGATACAGGTAAGTAAAAATTAAACACCATTTCTTTTACTGCATCAACAGCTTCTTGAGATAAATGTTGAAGATTAAGATGTTTTTATCCGTAACAGTTATAATCCTTTTGATGGGCCAAATGATAACCCTGAGGTGGAGCTGCCGTTGACCGCTGGGGAATACATCTACATTTATGGCGACATGGATGATGACGGTTTCTATGAAGGTAACTCTGTCTGTTATAGATTCTTAATAGGGCTGGAAATTATTTTCTGTTTGCGCAACCATTTCAAAGTCCTGCTACTGGTAATAATTTCATTCTAATGTGAATATTTTCAAGCCTCATTTTTCCACCTCAAAGAGCGCCTTCCCTGTAACACCGCCCTCAGCTCCTTCAGACAAGCCAGTAGCAATTAGCAAACATTTAGAAGAACTGTGCATCTACTGAACTCATTGTACAAGCTGTGCAACGCTGGTAAAAACGTTGTTAGAGGATTAGTAGAGGAGCAATGCTGTCATGACTTCCTAAAGGTGGAGTTTCAGAAAGATCAGTAGTTTTTAAAGAAACAAAAGCCTAATGTCAAAAGGTTAAATTACAAAATCAAATTCCATTTAAGTCGTAATTGATATCAATAGTATTTTAATAACAAATGAGGGTAACACAGTTACTTGACTGTGTTTTAAAATGGCACCATGTACCTGGGAAATACTTAAGACTACCCCTTTATTGTTCCTGATTCTACCTGATGTTTAATATTCAGTCGTTGCCTTTGTCCAGGTGAGCTGATGGACGGACGGAGAGGGCTGGTCCCCTCAAACTTCGTGGAACGCGTGTCAGACGACGATGTAATGAGCGCGCAGCACCCAGAGACCGGGGACGTGTCGCACAACTCCCTGCTAGACAGCAGCCTGCACAGTGCCAGCCACCAGCACCACCTCCACCTGGGCGTCGGCGCCTCAGAAAGGACGGAGGCGTCGCCCGCCTCCGGCCCCGCCTCCGCCCTTTCAGATTCGGTGTCGGCCTCGTCTGTTCCGGCCCCCCTCACCAACGGCCTGGATCTGGATTTGGAGGAGGTGGGAGTGGACGTCGTGCCTTACCCACGGAAACTTACCCTCATCAAGCAGCTTGCCAAGAGCATCATCATCGGCTGGGACCCCCCGTTGGTGCCGGCCGGGTGGGGCAACGTGTGGAGCTACAACGTGTATGTGGACCAGGAGCTGCGGCTGAACGTGCCCTTCGGCGCTCAGACCAAAGCGGTGCTGGAGCGGCTCGACGTCAACCTCAAAGCCTACCGGGTTTCGGTCCAGAGCCTGACGGAGAAGGGCCTGTCGGACCAGCTCCGCTGCAGCATGCTGGTCGGCCGGGACGTCTGCGTGGCGCCCACGCAGCTGCACGTGGACAGAGTTACCGCCACGTCCGCCAACCTGACCTGGCTGCCCAGCAACAGTAACTATGTGCACATTGTGTCCTTGAACGATGAGGAGTGTGAGCTGGTGAAGGCTGGCTGCTACTCGCTGTGCCTCAATAACCTCTCGCCCAGCCTGCAGTACACGGTCAAAGTGGAGGCGCGGCCGCACCGAACGCCATGGGAGCTCCCCGCGGAGCGCCGGGAGCACAGGAGCGCCACCGTTAGCTTCAGCACGCTGATGGCAGGTTAGGACCAAATGCATCGCGCCGTTTAAATTTGTTTCCCCCGTCCCACATGCAGCATTCGAGTCAAAATAATGCAACGCTTGGCACATGGAAGCCTCTGTATTTATCGTCTAGCTCAAACATTTGATCCAGATTAAGAATTTATGCTGCTTTTTTTTTCTTTTTTTTTACAATAATCCCACTGTGAAGTAATTACGTAATTCAGATTCCAACACATCAGTGGTGACATAGGCCTCTGGTGTACATCCAATAATTTATCATCCATCATCTGTAGAGGGGGAGCGTTGATGGAAGAGCTGAAAGAACTCAGTCAAAAATTAAAGATTCAGTTGCTGTCGATTTTTAGACAAGATTACTGCTGCTGTTTGTATCTGCAGTTGCATGCATCACTAAAAAAAGACTCATTTTGTAGCCATCATACATTCAGCTCTCATAACTGATATTTTAGGCAGCAATTGCCAGTTACTTAGAGCGACATTTACTCTTTTAATTTGCAATATAAATTTTCTGCTGAATCAGATAAATAGACATTATAGACTTTACAAAGAGTTAATCGCAGAGGCGACTAAAATCAATCAATAAAAAAAAAATCCTTTCTGAATATCATCTTATGGACACTGAACTAAATAAGTTGCGTGTTGAAGATTTATGGACTGGACTCTTTGGAGCGTCTGGTTGGGAAGCGCCTGTAAACCTTTGGTTGAAATGGTGCCTTTAATTAGAGTCACCACTACACACAGAACAGAGAAAACTAAAGAGAACGCAGCGTCGAGCTAATCCATTTATAGTCTAATCAGAGGAGTTTATCTTGAGGAAATAAAGGTGCAGAAGTTAATTAGACCGTAACAATAGTAGTAGCCTTCTTTGTTACCCGCAGAGTTCAATTGATCGCTTTGGATCAGACAGATCCAACTGACCGATGCACTAGTGCAGATTTCTCTGCTGACGCAACCAGGAGGGATTTGTCAGGCTGTGCCTTTAAACCCCAGCAGGTGAAGTGCTGGTAATTTTAGTGGAGTCATTTAATTTCATTTATTATAAGTTATTGGGGCCTCAGTCACTGGTTTTTATCACTACGGAGAAAAGGTTTGATGCATTTATCTGCTTTCTGTGTGATGGGGTCTGGATTCATGATTCAACTAGGTAAATATTTACTAAACCGCATAAAGATGTGGCTTAATAGCCGATAATATGATTATAATTTGACGGGTAAAAATGGTACATAACCGATTTTTGAATTTTTATATTGTCGGTAGTTTTGTAGGACAAAACTGTATGGTTTTGTTCCGCAGCCAACAAAACCATACAGTTTAAATTTTAAGTTTTAATGTTAAGAATCTGAGAATAGATGTTGCTTTCGCACAGTTTAAGCTCCCTGAAAAGACCTTTTCACCTTTAAGGCCGACTTTTGATAAAATTGAGACTGATTGTTTTATTCCGTAAGATTAATATGATTTCAACAAAGCCTGTTTCACATGCTTCAAGACATCAGCTGTTTGAGAAAATGGTTTTGAAAAAGCAGATTTTTATTATCTTATAGCTTTATCTTTGCTGCTGTTTTGTTGTTGAAGTCAGTTTGTGTTTGGTGCCACTTTCCTCTTGGGTTCTGCCAGTTACTTAGAGCGTGATCTGTAATCAATGGTTTGAGTCGCATTTCTCTAAACAATCTCTCAAATTTGCTTAAGTTGCATGCCCACACTCTGGGAATTCAGGTATCTGGATCCTTCTTGTATATTTAGATTGTTAGCTTGCTGCTTACTGGTGTGGTATATCTGTTTTTGTCCTGCTATTAGTACAGAAACGTGAGTCTTGACACTACGTTTGCTGTTCGCTGGGGTGTAACGCGTTTAATCGCTGCAGGTCCCCCTGACGCTCCGCTGGACGTGCAGCTGGAGCCCGGTCCCTCTCCCGGAATCGCTCTCATCAGCTGGCTGCCGGTCACCATAGATGCTGCTGGGACCTCCAACGGAGTCCGGGTCACTGGATACACCATATATGCAGACAAGAAGAAGGCAAGGATTTTCAGTAATCATGTCATTAGTGTGAATGGTCATTTTCAGAGTTCACACAGGTGCCTGAAATCCTTGGATATAAATATTTTCAAGGTTTGGAAAGTGTTTGTGAGAAGTCCTTAACTTGGTTTGGAGAACATTTTTTACATGAGATGTCTTCACGCACCTAATAAAAACCACATTTTATTTCTCGCTACTTGAACTTAAATCAGACTGAACTTTTTATGTTTTAGGCCAGTTTAAAGTATTTATAATTATTTCTATTTGCTAAAGGCCAGAAAACTTAATGAGAGCTGTTTTTCTTTTATTTAGCATTTTTGTATATTGTGTTTAAGCACTTAATTTGAGCTTTATCACGATTTGTTTGGATTGCTTCAACATAATGAATGTTCCTTACTCCCTAATGGCTCATTGACTTTTAGACACGTGAAATTGAAATAAAAATCGGCTTGTCTATTTTACATTAAACTATTTCATTGAAATTTGTGAATTAGTTTTTTGTTAATTTAGTGTTTTGTTCTTGGGCCAGTCAGGTATATAGAGTGTGGCTGAAGAGACGTTTCAAAACATAAAATTGTTATATTTTAGTTTACTTGTCCCTGCTGTAGAAGATATTGTTAATAGCAGTGATAAATTGGAAATGTCTTTTTTAGTTCTTTTCTATTGTTTTTATCTCCAAAAGGTGGTGCTGGAAAAGTTTGAAAACTTACCTTATAAATGCTTGCAAAGCGCTTGAATGTTACTGTGGGGAAAAAGCATACGAAGTCTGAAATGTATTCTTGCTGCCAAAGGTCTTGGAAGTGGCGTCGCCGACGGCTGGAAGTGCTCTGCTGGGCCCCTCTCAGATCCAGGCCCTCCAGGCGGCTCAGGAGCTCACTGTTCGCACCATGTCTGCCCACGGGGAATCCTGCGACTCTTTTCCAGTAAACGTGCCCTCCAAGCTGGCCGCCGTCATGGCGGGCCCGACTCCGACCGCCCCAGTTGTGCCACACCTCCCCTGCACCTCAATAGCCCCCAGTAACTTATCCCCACTTCCGTCTTATGGAAACTCTGCTGCCAAAATCTCTGCGCTGCCCAACACTCTGCCTGGCCCCGCAGTGGAGGCTGCCGCCAACCTGCCTCATGCTCTCCACTCACAAGATCGTCTGTTATCTGCCTCTTATGTGAAAGCCTGGGCCGACCCGACTTCTGCTGCTGCCTTGACGATGTGTGAGGCCGCCTTACCTGTGGCCTCCGCCGTTCCTCCAGTGGTAATGCTCTGCCAACTTTTGATCAATAGAATAGGAATGAAAGTCTGACGTCCAGGGTTTGAAATTGTTGAAATCGCTTGAATGTCAATTCGGTGTTCTCAAGGTTTGGAAAGTGCTTGATTTTTGTGTAAAGTTCTTGAAAATACTTGATATTCAGACTCCACAGTTTTGTAGTAAGTGCAATCTAATGTTTGATTAAAAGCCTGCAATTGGAAAATGTTATTTACAATTGAAACCAGACATTTAAAAAAATTCAAATTGTTTTACATCAGTTGAATTAGCAAAATTATTTCTATTTGCTAAATGCCAGGAAACTTGAGCAAATTTTTTATTTTATTTTGTTTTTGAATATTTATCACTTCCTAATTGCTCAATGACTTCCTGGTCTGTGTCACTGAAATAAAAGTTAGCTTTTTTTTTTTTTGCGCTGCACAGTGTTATTGAAATTGGGGGATTATTTTTTGTTTTCTGATCAATTAGGTGTGTGTGAGAGATAAAACATGACAATTTGAGATGTTTTAGTTTCCATTGTTCCTGCTGTAGAATGTCTATACAATCACAAGACATTGCTAATAATAATAAATTATATAATAGTGAATTGAAACTGTCTTTTTTTTAGTTCATTTATATCGCTTTTATCTTCAAAATCTGACACTTTAAAGGTTTGAAAACTTACATGGTTGAATTTTACTGTGAGAAAAGTATGCGAACCTTGAATATCAAGCATATAAAATGCTAATTGGAGTAAAATCCTGGTGTGAAGCATATGATTGACAAGCAGCCACTGAAACTTAAAATTGACACTCCTTATTAACAGACGTCGTCATAAAACGCTGCTTTTCTTCTTCTCAGGTTAATGTGGCCTCCCCCATCAACACAGCACCTCAGCCGTCTCCAGCACCAGCGACGCCACCTCCGCCTGCTCAAGTGGAGATGGTGGCGCCAGCGGCAGTGTTGGATCTCCGCAGAGACACCGACAGCCCCGGGACAATACGTCCTTTCCCATCCATCACAGAGTTCATCGAGGACCCCTGTGCCAAGCTTGGGACCCCTGAGCGCGTCGCAAGTCCACCTAAAGCCCCGATCGTCGACCTCTTGAACCCGCAGAGCACCAACGTCCTGCGACCGCCCTGCACTTCGCCACTGGAGTCGGAGGTGGAGGAGGAACCGGAGAACACTCGGCTGGTGTCCATTGAGGAGTTCTTGAGGCAAGACCAGGAGCCGGCTTACCCTAGTAGGCAGCAGGTACGCTCTGATTCTTTCTTTTACATAAACATATATTTATACACTCATGATTTTCAACAGTTTTTACCCCCAAAATTTAGGAAAAAATACAAACTATGTGTTTAAATGTAGCCAAAGCTACAGCACAGTGATTTAAAAGTATCAGAGCTGAAATAGTTACAGCTTTAATGAAGCAGCAGAATTCATGACAGATAGTTTTCATTAGATTGGCTGATGTGCTGCTGTTTTCCTTCAGAGTTACAACAGAGGCCTGACGGAGCCTCACAGCGACTATCACGCAGACAACAGCCATTCAGATTTGTCGGACATCCTGGAGGAGGAGGAGGAAGACCTTTACTCGGACCACCTCGGAGAAGCACAGGCCAGGGGGTACACAGTGGGAGCCAACAGGGTAAAGAAATTAATTACTAATGTATCCTAATGCATAGGCTCTACAACATCTGTCTTTTTTGAGTGTGCTTCATTTTGTTAAAGGTGACTGCTTATGCTTCCTTGAAAAGGTTAGGATAGGTTACTTTTTTTGGGGGGGGGTGACAAAATCATGCTGAGATTTTAGCCTGGTCAGTTCAGAACGAGATGTTTACGCTCGCATGTGAAAATGGCTCCAAACAGATGGATGTTTATACAACCGTTCATCTTTGAAAAGCAAAAGGGGAGCCTCCTCCCCAACCAACAAGAATGAAGAAAGAAAGTGGTTTCCAGATTGTAATTCAACAACAAAACACTTGTCTTTTCCAGAAGCCATTGATCAGTGCACACTTAGGTGAAACCACCCAACCAAACGTGCTAGGGTTACTGGGTAACTAGCTGAACTCTGCTGGGTTTGTCCGTTGAATGTGACTTAACAATCGGGAAGGTTTTGGAACAGCTCGTTTTCCAGAATCCAAAAAATTTGTAACTTATTTCCAAAGACCAACTGAGTGTGCTTGGGCAGATTTCAGAAGATGTTGACACCGAAAGGGAAGCATAAAAATGTGCAAAATGTGAAATTTGCATCATAGATCCCTTTTATGTTCACTTTTTAATTTCTGTTGTGTATTTGTCTGTTTGTAACCCTTTTTGTTGTTTTTCCTCTTCTTTCTTTTCTCTCTGCATGCCTGAACGTCTTTATTCAATTATTTTTCCTTGGATAATGGTAATTATTTGACCCCACACCTTTGCCACTCCGTGTTTGACTCAATCCGACTACGACCGCTGCAGTCACGCAAACTGGAGACGCCGGACAGCGACGAGGACGTTCTTGAACGGATCCTGAAGTTGCCTCCTCAGGTCCCGCAGTGCAAGCAGCTGTTCAGCATCGCCGAGGTGACGGAGGAGGAGGATAGCAGTCAGGAAGAGCCTTTACTCCACCGCAGCAAGCCTCGGCCCGGGTCCATTCTTCCTAGAGACTCTGAGCATCTCCATTACCCGCATCCCCCCGACCCACACATCCCGCACCACCACCACTTCAACAGGGATCCCAGATCCCTTGCCAAAGAGCCTTCTGTCCGACAAGAACCCCTGCAAGTTAAGCCGAAGACACAGCACAGGGTGCGCTATGCTGACACGGTTGACACCGTAAATTATCCCGAAGATGAAAGTTTGTATCCGAGTCCGGCTAGCAGGCGAGTCTCAGCCCGCTGTCCGCCCAAACTCACCCCCACTATCAAAGAGAGAGCGTTGCTCAAAGGGCTAGGGGACCGCCTTAGAAGGGAGGCCATGCTCAGGAGTCAGATGGCTGCCGCCACCGCCGCCGCCGTGGAGAGCCCCGACCATGGTCCTACCCCGCCAAGACCCTACCCAGTCAGCAAGACGGTGCGGACTGTGAGGTCGCCGGTCGGCCGCAGGACGGAGATCGACGTGGAATACGGCACGGACAACGAAGAGCCCGCCGAGTACGGGCGCGGGGAGGTGGTGCTGGAGCAGATGAGCTCCGAGTGGTGGGTCGAGGGGGCTCCAGCGGAGCACGGCAAACCGCCTCACCGCAGAGGAATGAAGGCCGAAGCAGCGGTAACTGCAGCGGATGTAGTCCTTGTGTTGACCCAGCCCTAGTCTCTCCCCCGTGGCTGTGTAGATCCTCAGAGGATAACCTCACCTCTCAATAGATACAAGCCTACTTCATTACCAGAATGTTGTGGAATCTCTCTTAATTTGTCCAACTTTCCAGCACATTAACACCCAGGCTTTGTCTAAAAACTACCTGAAAAAGTTATTTTCTTTATATGCTTCACTTTCATGTGTCTCTAATTTATCTTTCTGCTAAAAGATTCTTTAATTCATTCAATTTCCTTATCATCTAAAGTCAAGTTCGACTTGTTTTTTACATTCTTAGCTGTAACTCATTGCAAGCTCTGCACATCGTGTTACCAACAGAGTTTTTATGCTAGTGCTTAAAATCTTTGAAAGTACTTGAATTTGAATGAGGTGGTTTGGAAAGTCCTTGGTATTCAAACTGCACAGTTTTCTAATAAAGTGCAAACTTTGTTTAAAAACAAAAGTCAGATGCAACTTTCTTCTCACTGTCTGACGATAAATCTGACTAAACTCTTCTTGATTGATCTTTTAACTTTCTTTGTATATTGTGTTAGTATGAGCAGGAACAGGCGTTTCAGTATTATGAATATTAATTATTCATAAAGGCTTAATGGCTTTTTGATTATTGAAAAAAAGGTAGGCTTTTCTTTTATACTTTAAACAACATTATTGGATTGGATTATTGGATTTTTATGTTAAATTATCGTTTTGTTCTCGGAGCAGTCAGGTGTGAGAGAAAAATGTAAAAACATAAAAATGTTATTTTAATATAGAAAGTTTTAAAGATATAACAAAGTTATTAATAACGTTACCAGTTATAATAACTGCAGTAAATTGAAACGGTTTGCTTTGTTCATTTTTATCGTTTTTCATCTCCAAAGTGCGGTGCTGGAAAAGTTTGAAAACGTACCTTGAAAATGCTTGGAAAGTGCTTGAATATTGCTGTGAGAAAAGCATATGAACCCTGTACCAGTAACCAACCTGCCCCTTGTGCTAACTTAAAACAAGACAGGTTTGTGTGCTGAATTTTACTTCCTCATATATATATTTTTTTGTTGTTGTTTTCTGTTTTGAACAGGAGCCCGGTCAGATCCCTCCAGCTGTGGCGGGCCCTTCCAGAGGTGGCCAGGCAGAGCTCTCTTCCAGACCAATGAGCTCCCACACCAAGCAGCACAAAGGTCAGCAGCTCCTCCCTCCTTTCTGGGTTCAGTGGAAGTGTGTGGAGAGAGCCTGACATGCTAGTGGTTTCAGCTGGCAAGCCTCCCCCTCTCTCACATGAAGGTTGTCGGATTAGTACCTTGTGCATCAAGGGAGGGAGGGTGGCGTTGCGGAGAAGAAGGTGCTGTGGAGATTGCTAAGCTGAGAACCAGCTTAAGCCAAAGTGGCTTGTCATGACAGGAGGAAGTGACAGACATTAAAATAGTAACCTTGATAAACCAGCAAAGAAGCTGCCTGTGTTAGAGATGTGCAACACCCCTCCCCTCCACTGCATTTCCGTCACTCTCTTCTCAATCAGTCTGAAACCTGACCTTTCCTGGTTCATGTTTATTTTACACATGTACAGATAGAGGAAGGGAGCAGAGAGAAGTTCTGCCCTTGTAGCTCAGAGATCAGTAAGGATGTGAAAGTGTGCGAGTAGTCTGCTTGTGATTCTTGCCTCAATACTGAGACGAGTTCAGCTTAAAGCTGTTAGTTTCTCTTTCGCCGCCACGCTGATGTCTTGCGCTCCTTTTTATTCTCAGTATACTCGGCATTGCTAAAATAAGCAACTTTTTTGCATCATCTGTGGCATCTTGAGCAACAAGCGCTTGTCTGTGGAGGCGTTTTTTCTTTTTTCTTTTACAGTGCAGGCTACAGTGTGAATAATTGACTTTTGGTTTGGGTCAAACACTGTTTGCTCTGATGCGCGGCTGCAGATCAGGAACAAGTGCACGTTTGTCGAAAGGCTCACACAGCTTAGGATCAGTGGTTTAGCTTGATTACCTTTTTTAAGGACAAGTGCTGGGCCAATTTGGCTCGTAGCAGCGTCGCGGTTAGCTGGTGGGGGAGGTGCACAAACGCTCAGTGAAACTAAGCAATGTTAACATGCAGGGGCCTCTCAATAACTTAGAATATCATCCGTAATGTATTATGTATTAATTCGTTACGCATTTATTCTAACTGAGGTCAAGATTTTAATGTTGAATAATTAATTACATAGAATTTATTGCATGTAAATTTTGACACAAATGGAGTGTTTTGTCACCTGATAATCCAGAAGACTGTCTCACACGACCCAAACACTTTCAAAAACCTGTTCTCCTCCTCGCCTGTGGTGGCGCTACAACAAGAACCACTGAAGGAAATAACTTAAACGCCTCTGAAGAAGACAGGAGCCTAACTTCCTTCTTCACAAAATGTAAACAAAAATGGAGTGGCTTGAGATTTTACCAGCTGTAGGATTTCTCATTTTTTCCCCTCGTGTGTTGTGGTACAATTTTAAAATAACCTAGGCTTAAGAGAATCCATCAGAAGTGTAGCTATCACAGTATCTGCTAATGCGTTAGAGCAAATGAGGATGGAACATAACATGTTATTAGCAGATATGTCTATCTATGTTTAACTGAGGGGAGGTACAGCAGTGAATTGAAACGGACTTTATGTGCAGATCATATTTTTAATGTCGGTAATTCTTAATTTAGCCCGTGACGACTGTGTTCCTGCAGGTGAATCTCCAAAAATAAAAGGCGACGGCGGCGTTCGCATCTTTGTGGCGCTTTTTCCATACGATCCCGTCACCATGTCTCCTAATCCTGATGCTGCAGAGGAGGAGCTTCCCTTTAGCGAAGGACAGATCATCAAAGTAAGTGCAGCTTCCTCAGACCCTCCTGAGCTTTTAAAGGGGCGGTATTATGTAAGATTGACTTTTTTTTAGCTTTACATTGTGTTATAATGCTCCCTCATCAAAAACATACCTGAAGTGTTACTCTGATTCTTTTGTTCATGTTTGAGAAATATTTTGATCTCCCGTGACAACCATTCAGCTAAGCTGCAGTTTCCAAGCTTCTAAGCTGAAGGAGCTCCCCCCTCCCAGCTCCTTCAGACTAGCCAGCAGCATTTAGCAAACACCTGTCGGAACTGCACTTCTGCAGCCCTGATTATACGAGCTACTTCTCATTGCGTCATTGGATTAAAAGTTAAAGGGTTAATAAAGGAGCGACTTAATTGTAGTCGCAACTTTATTGTAATGTCTTCTCAAATGCGCCGTTTCAGGAAGAGCAAGAGTTTCTTAAAGAGACAGATACCCAATTTCAAAGCATCAAATTCTGAAGTCATATTTAACACATTTAGCATTTCTATAACAACTGAAGGTAACATAGTTACTTGATTTGGTTACATAATCCCACTGTGCCCCCACAAAACATATGATACTCTGCCTTTAAATAAAGCCTGATGTCGAAAGTTGCAGCGGATCTTCTGTCTCTCTCTTCATCCCAGGTTTATGGAGAGAAAGACGCGGACGGGTTTTACCGGGGGGAGTCAGGTGGCCGTCTGGGCTACGTCCCGTGTAACATGGTGTCTGAGATCCAGGTGGAGGACGAGGAGACCCAGCAGCAGCTGCTGCAGCAGGGCTTCCTGTCCACGGCTACCTCTATGGAGAAGATCGGTATGTGACGACGTGCTCAAGTCCTACTTCATGACTGTCGCATTGTAATGTGTCTACTGTAATAATGTTTCATAAAGTCACTGCTTTCCATGTTGAAGTGGTAAGTGAAAATGGCTGCTCAGAAGAAAGAAAATCTGGCGCCATGTTTTGATTTATTTTTTTGACCTAGATTTTAGCGACTGGAATATTTTCTTGTGGTGTAATAATTTTACTTCATAAAAGAAACTAAAATCACGGATTTTTCGGAATGGAGGAAAAACAAGCTCCATGTAGTCTGTGGCCTTCTGTCTCTCCCGGCGCCATAAGGAGACTTCATAATATCAGCTGAGCTAACTGAACAAAATCTGTGTTCCCTGTTTCTGCAGGCATGTGAAAAGTAAAATGAGTCAGTGTTTGTCTGTGGTGAATGGTGGAAAGAAAACCAGCACAACTCAAGCTAACACTTTGCTTCTGTTTCCTGCTTTCTACCCAGAGCCGTACTTGCAGATTATAGTTTTTTTTTTAACCTTTTCACTTCCACTTGTTCTCACTGCTGTGTTCTGCTGCTTGTCACAGTCTACGTGGCTCTTCGCTGGCTCCTCATCGTCAGCTTCGTCTGGGCTGCTCTTCTAAAACATCTGTCTTTCCTGTGTTTTTTTTTTTCTTTCTTATTTATTTATTGTTATCATTTCGTTTCTTTTATTGTTTCTGGCCTCTAAAACTTCATTAAGGCACTCGCACATATGCACAGCTTCCGCGTCGCCCTGTTCCACCGCCGAAACCGAGACGATCCAAGAAAGGTGTGTCTCGCTGCTGATTGCGGCTTCCACCCCTCCTTTCTTCTTCTCTCTCTGGTTTGCTTCTTTCTGTCTTCTTCACATTTGTCTCATTTCCTTCAGTGGCTGATTCACTCAGCCACTGCAAGGGATTTAAAAAAAGAAGAGAAACGGCTAAAATGGCCATAAAATTTATGCATCTTCCCAACATTTAGGGCATATATTATTATTCTTCCCCTGATTTCTTTTCTCAGTCATGTGATACGACTGACACAGGATGTCACATGCTGTTGCTGATTAACCAATAAGTCCCCAGAACATTTCATTTGTCCTGCTCCTCTGCTGTAAATCAATGTCATTATCACCGATTGAAACATTTGTGCTCTGTGATCTCCACCCGTAACTTTGTGTCGACACACTCTCACATCTTTTGTGGCCAGCTTCACACAGACAACGTAGCATGTAGCGCGACACGATTCCATCACGCCATATGCCACGTGATATAAAAGTGTACGCACTGGCTGCCTGTCACGGCTGCATCGAACTTCTGTCGGGATTTTATGTGATGGACCAACACAAAAGTAGTTTCTCTCCATGAGCAACTGAGGTGGCATCATCATGAAGTGGAGATGCTATTCTAGGCGCAGCAATTCACGTTTATTTGTTTAGAACATGTCAGCACTTCAAAGTTCTTTATATCGTAACAAAAAACATCATGCAGCAACCGATTAATGAACAGCAATAAGGATTAATTTGTCAAATTCCTTAAGCAAGAACATCAGAAACTATACATCAAGTGTATAAATCAATTATCTAGTTATTGTAAGTTATTGTAAGTCAAAAGGAACTTAGTGGTTCAGCAGCTTTACCGTTTTCTAGAGGTTTGTTCCAGATTGGTGCTGCATAGAAGCTGAATTCTACTTCTCCATGTTTGGTTTTGGCAATCCAGAGCCAAACCAGAAGACCTGAGTGGTCTGAATGGTTCTGGTTGTACGGTTCTGTTGCTACAACGGCAGCAGATCTTTAGTGTGTTTCAGAACTAAACCGTTCAGTGATTTATAAACTGTCAACGGTCTTTTACAGTCTGTTGTCTGAGCAGCAGGAAGCCAGTGATGGACTGAATGGCATATTCAAAGTCCAGACCTAAATCCAATAGAGAATCCATGGTGAGCCCTGCTGCTTCCACTCCATCCAAACAGAGAGAACTTGAACGACTTTGAAGGAAGAATGGGGGAAAAATGTCAGTCTTGAGAAGTGCAAGGCTGATGGAGAAATAACCCAAAGACCTGCAGCTGTAAATACGGGAAATCCTGTGAAATTCACTCAGAGGATCTGTATATAAATACCTTCCACAATTTTCTGATATTGTAAAAGAATATGAAAATCATCTTCAAATATCCTTTTCCTTCCACTTTGCAGTTTTTGCACCTTTTAGTGTCAGACTGTCTCATAACAATCCATGACTGAACCAGAACTAAAGAGAAGTTAATAGCATTCAACCAAGCATTTGGCTGCTTGTGTCCTTTAACTCTCTGTGTGAAGCTGGTGTGACTTCAAACTGCACCAATCTCACTCAGTCCCTCAAAATGATTGAGTAGTGTTGCTTATGTTTTCTCCCCCTCGCCTCATGTTTTTCCAGTGGAGTCTGCAGCGCTCTGGGAGGAGAGCATAGACTCCTCCAGTCAAGGTTTGTCGTCAGCTCCGGTGTGCCTGCATGGTGAGACGGCGTTTCAGCGCGCGCTGCATGCTTTACCTGCGATTGTTTGTTTTTTAACATTTTCTGCTTAGTGTAATGCCACTATTTTAGCAGCTTAAACTGCAACGCTCAGATTCGCCCATTTTTATTATAGGTTGCCTGATTGTGACATTCACAAAATACAAAGCATGTTTAGCAAACAGCAGTTTTCAGCTTCTGAAAGCAATCTTAGCAGTAAGATGATCAACTAGGGCTGCACGGTGAAGCAGTTAGTAGCCTGGGGTGTTTCTCTGCGTGGAGTTTGCCTGCCTGGGTTCTCTCTGGGTACTCTGGCTTCCTCCAGAAGGAGGGGTAGGTTAATTAGTCTGGTAATCACAGTGTCCAAGTGTCCTTAAAAAGTTTTAAATTTATAAATCTGAAATAAAGGTCTTGAACAGACTTAAAAATGTAAGTTAATCACGACTTTAATTTTGTCGTGGTTATATAGATTTTTTTTTCTATCGAGACTTTCTTTCGTAACGGACAAAGGTTTGAGTTGTGTGAAGACGTCATTGCTCACTGGATTCTGTGTCCCCGGGGTGTTAAGTCCGCTAATGCTTGCTAGCTAGCTAGCTCTTTTGCGTCTATCATGCGAATCTGTCAGCAGTTGGCTGGACGAAGTTCGCCTTCGCCATGTCAGTCTTGAGAAGTGCAAGGCTGATGGAGAAATAACCCAAAGACCGACTCGATTCTGTTGCCAACCCACATAATGCCACATGCATTCTGTGCAGCAAAGCTTGGCCCTATCGGAGTTAAGGTTGTATGAGAAGTCCAAATCTGCTGCCACAGAAGATCACAGAAATTTCACTTTCTATAAAGTTCTCAAAATGGTCTTTAAAAAGTCTTAAATGTGAGTTGGTAAAACGTTGGTGAAGACCTGAGCAGGGTTTACTGCACCGCTCACCCAATGACCTCTGCCCTCCACAAACCACCTGGTTCTTAAAGTAAACTAATTCTTCCTATCCCTTCCTTTAATTTCCCAGATTAAGTGGCATGCAACCGTTTCTGCTTGTGTCCACATTCATCGCCTGACAAATGTTCGATTTGACTTTGTCGTAGAAGTAGAAAATTCTAACACCGATTACTAATTTGTTGTTTCTTCCTGGTGTGAATTGTGCAGTGGAGTGAGTTTTCCTCAGCGCAGCATGACGCTGAGAGTCCGACACGAACAAACAGAGCCGCGTGTTTGCGGGCCGACAAACACTTTGCCTGATTCTCTCTGATAACGGCTCTGATTGAACCGTGTGGCCCACAGATCCCAGCCACAGCGCTGCTCCAGGAGCCGCAGGGAAACCGGCCTCCGGGGCTCGAAGGATGGTCGCCATCTTTGACTACGATCCGCGAGAGAGCTCCCCGAACACCGACATAGAGGTTCGACCTGCACGTGAACAGCTGCTTTCCGTGCCACGCGTCTAAAATGTTCAGTAACGGCGAACCCTCTCTGTGAAATCTCCGTTCAGGCTGAGCTGACTTTCAGCGCAGGAGACATCATACACGTGTTTGGTGACATGGACGAAGACGGTTTCTTCTACGTAAGTTTCAAAACTCCCAACTTTGGGAGGCGTCTCTGGCTAACTTGTCAACTTCAGCTCCTCTGGAGCCTGTTGTTGTAAATTAAAAAAAAAATGCAAAAGGAAGGAAGTTGTACAACAGCGAAGAGGATTGTGTAAGCATTTGTGCAAAAGAAAATGTGCAACAGTTCCACTCCAGCTGTAATAATTATAAATAAGACAATTTTATAGTTAAATTAACTTACAGTTGGTCTATGTAGGTACTTTTCTTTGACGGCGTCATAAGAATGAACAGTTAAAAAAAAAAGTGAAGTCTGGCTTTTTAACAGAATCTGTCATCGAATCTTTCAGGGAGAGTTGAACGGACACAGAGGCTTGGTGCCCTCCAACTTCCTGCAGGCCTTCCCAGAAGAACCTCCTCCTCCAGAACCGATCAGTGCCCAACCGGCACCAGAACACAGGAAGGAATTACAGGTACCTCAGTCCATTCGTACATTAGCAAAGATTTCATTTTCATTGCCATCTTTTCAAATCGGTAACGTGAAAAGCCGCCGACTCTTATTGATGCTGGGAAAGTGCACGATTACTTTGTGCTTTTGTTTTCTGCTCTGTCTGATTTTTGCCTGTTGCGTCTCCTCTGTCCTGCATGGCCTCTTGCAGAAGCAAAAACGATCTGTACACTTTGAGACTTGATCGTAAGTGTCTTCAGTTGGTCGGCACCTCCTCTGTAGTTCCTCCCATCCTCCACCTCCGCAAATTACCCCCGGGATAGACAAAGTGTCTCCTCCTCTATCTCTACAAATATCTCTCCTCTGTCTCTCATCTTTCTCTATTTCTCTCTATCTGTGTTTACCTTGCTATCTATTTCTGCCTCGCTTCACATCTATATCTACCTGTGTTTGTCTATCCCTGCCTTGTTCAAAAACACTTGAAAGCCTTTCCTTTTACAGTCTTCCTTTTGAACCTTACTCCCTCCAGACGTACAGTACAAACAGTAAAAAAGACGGTTTACAATCTCCATCTCATCATCTAAAGCTTGGCTTTATCTCTGCTAGGATCCTTGCACCTCCTCTTCAGAGCCGCAAGATTCAGTCCCCTCTGCGCCAAAAGAGGCTTTGCGTCCCCCAGCTGAGCCTTCAAACCCGAACAGGAAGGAGCCGTCGGACCTGCAGCCGCAGCTGGAAGCCGCCGCCGCAAGTCCGACCCCCGACCTGACCCCTGCTCCCGGTCCAGCTGCAGCGGAGGTCCGCTCCTCTCCTCCGGACACCCCAGCTCCCTCAGCGTCGGCCGTGCAGGCCAAGAAGAAGAGAGGCTTTTTCTCCAAAGGCAAGAAACTGTTCAAGAAGCTGGGATCCAGCAAGAAAGAATGAGACTCGGAACACTCGTATCACGTTTAAAGCACTTTTCTCTGTCTGTACTGTCAAGTCTCATGTAATCAATGCTGTTTGCAACTAACTGATGCGTTAACCGTCAGTAATGAAACTTTTGCCTTAGACCAGCGAGTGAACATAGAGGACTCGGCAGTGCAGAACATCCGCTTGCAGCATGTGCGCGTGCATGTTGAGCTGATCCACAAGTATTTATTCTAAATTCTTGCGCTTTGTCAACTTGTCGCAGTGAAACGACGCAGCAATAACATACCAACACGTAGCAATGATTTAGACCTATTTAATGCTGAGCAGTGTCGATTAGAAGACCAGACGCCACCCGGACTGCCAACGGCCGGGTTGGCGTTAGCTTTAGCGCTCATCCGCTGGTGCCACCGTATTTATCCGAAGCCGACAGAAAGAAGCAGCAGTTTTGCTCTTTATTTTTCTGTTGCGGCTGTTTTAAAAATGCACTATCCATCCTGATTGGACGGAGTTATATTATATCTGTTCTCCTCTTACGTTACTTAGTACAAAATCGTATTTATTGTAACTGTTAGCACTGCGCGTGAAGCTGACCGGTGAGCCGAGAGCTGTCATAGGCAGCTGGGCTCTTCTGATTGCCGAGGTTGAATGAATGTGAAAGCATGTCACCATTTCATTCATTTCCCTGGAATCGATGTTAGTAGCCAATATGGGGATTATTGGGTCAGCTTGGCCGAGTCCCACAAGATAAAATCGTTATTTAGTTTCAGTTGGAGCTCGGTTCATCATCAGCCTCTAGGTTCTGTCTATGTGAGCGTAGGTTACAGACGTAGACGGACATTCAGGCCTTGCAGGTACAAAAAGTCCTAAAACAAATTAAGCCTTTATTGCAGTGGCACATTCTCTCACACATACGAAAAAAATATGGAGATCCAAGTTTTAATCTGAGTACTTTACCTCTGTGTTTCCCGTGTGTTATCACCAGATTTTTAAATAAATGAATCTCAAATAGTTTATGATGCCCGGGCATCTGGCAGCTTACCTCACTCACCCTGCATGCGTTTGTGATGGCGGGACGTTCACAAAAAAACAATCAGTTGGTATTTACTCAATTTAAAACTTTTCATTGTGAGGTCACTGCAATAAAATAGATCAAATTTTTTAGAGAGACAGAGAAAAAAATGCCTTTCTCACTCGCAAAAAAAAAAATCCGGATGGCCTGAATGTTTAGGGTGTGTTAGAGAGAAATGGGCAGATCTGCAGTGTCCAGACATCAAGCGTCTGTTGATTATTACTGAAGACTAGCATTCGGTTTCCACTAAAATCTCCAGTTGTTCTTTAAATGAACTGAGAGAGAAGGTGATAGAACCAACTTCTAGAGAAAGATGAACCAAGTTCTCTCTTCCATCACAGTGTAGCGGATGCGGAGGAAACCAGAGCTACTGCTGACGCTTCCTCTACCTTCAATCCACTAACTCACACCGACTCATCCGTCATCCTATTTGCTTAGCATCTCAGTTTTACACTCTACCCACACTTCGTTGTTACAGTTCAACCCTTCTCCACACAGCAAAGGACAGAATGTCATTTGTCGTCAGATGTTAAGAGGTTTATTCTAATTTGAATGTAGCATGCTTTTTTTGTTTTGTTTTTCTTAAATGTTAGCTGTAGCAGGAACATCACTTCCTGGATCTGCTTTGAAGCAGAGCGTTTGCACTGAAGTCTTGTGGTGTCTCTGTACCGTGATGGGCTCCGCAATAAGTTTCTGCTGTCGCCTCCGGCTTGCAGTGTTACAACGTAAATGTTGGTGATTAGCATATGCAGCATGGTTAGCAATGCTGACCAGCTTGACTTTAGCAATACATAATGCCGTGTTAGAGAGTTAGAACCGTGTTGTGTTGTTTGTGTAGGGCTTATTGCAGCTTCGTTAAAGTAAAGCTGTAATTGAAGTGTTTATTTTGAGCGCAGGTGTGCAGAGCAGGCCCGTTTTTTTATTTCTTTTTTGACTTTTTCCCCCCCACTTGTGACGCTCACTCTGATTTTCTCCCCTCTGTCTCTGCTGCGCAGGGCTGCCAGGCGGCTCCTCAGGTTTTTCATCGCTGGGTTCCTTTCGGTGCTGAGGCACCTGTTCATTCTGGCTGTCGTGAAGCTGCAGAATATGCCAAAACGTTAGGTGCTTCGCTTTTTTACAAGAGACACGGAATATTCCCAGCAGTATGATTCACTAGGCTGTTTTTTGTTTGTTTGTTTGTTTTCTGTTTAGGGTTCGCTCTGTGAATGTTTCAATCTCTCCTGGTTTCGTAAAGGGAGCACGACGATGCCAAGAGCAAAACCAGAAAGCGGTTCGTCAAAGACACGTTAGATGTTGAATAGCCGGGATAGATGCAAGCCAGAGGCAGTACTAAATACTTTTTGTTGTTTTGTGTTTTTTTTCTTTCTTCTTCTTCTTCTACTTTTGTGTTTTAACAAGGGGTTGGACGCTCCCGAAAGTTGCCGAAATGTACAGCGGATAGTTGTAATGTGTTAAACGGCCTTTAACGCACCAGTCCGGTCCTCTCGTCTGCTGCCCAGCAACACGAGAGGCCCCTCTGCTGACTGGCTCCGACTGAGACCCATGTAGATAAAGTTTTCTGTTTGGTTTTGATTTTTTATTTATTTATTTTTATTTTTTAGCTCAGATGATCATTTCTAGCCTTACACAAAGACCTTGTTTAGTCTTAATATGTTGTTTACAGGATGTTCGCATGCATGTTCTACCCATGTTCGGCCTTATTTTCATTGCTCTCACATTTCAGTTTTAGGCAGACACGTCTACTGCGTCGACGCCTCAGCGGGAACGAAGCTGTGTGTGTATATACTGTAACGAACCGGTGGGATACGCGTTATAATTTCATTATTTTCATACGTCGCAGAAAATCTTTGTCTCTCCTTGTCTTCATTGTTTGAAACCACTGTAAGATGAACCTTTTTATATATTACTACAATTATTATTATTATTCTTTTTACTACACTTTCTGGAAGCTTATCTGTATTTATTTTGAGAGTTTTTCAGATTTTATTCTGCTCTTTATTTTTTCTTTTTTGTTATTTTTGCATGTCTAAGCAGTGTCGTTGGCAGACTATTACCTAAAACTAGTACAATGAGGACTTCTTGACTTGAAAATGTGGTGAATTATTTCGATATGGATCTTTTTTTTTTTACTGAAATAAAATATGTATATTTTCACAGAAAAAAAACTAAACGCCAGTGTTGTTTGAAAATCACAAAAAAAAAAAAAAACACGTAACACAGGACTTATTTTTTAGATCATCTTTATTATTTTGCAGCGTACAGATTGCGTATCATTTACCATTATCAGTGTATCATTTACATGCTTTGTTTCCAAACAGGTGACAATGGAGGGAACAAAGAGGAGCTCGCTCCGCTCGGCGCCACACTCTGCCCATGTGAACCGACTTGCCGCGACACTCTGGGTAACGTGTGGCCCCCGCGAGACGAAGCAGCTTCCTCTTTTCTTTCGCCGACTTCCTGCGTGACACCGGCGGCCCCTCGGCTCTCCCTGAAGCCAACAGTACACTCATCCATAAAGTAGGAAACACTACACTTTGGCGAGGAGTTTAGTAGTGCTTTCTACTTTATGGATGACTGCACTGTACATCCAAGCGCTCCTCTCCGGTTTTCGGTCCATTTCCACTTCCCACTTCCTCCTCTTCTTCTTCTTCTTCTGCACCTGTAGCCGCTCACGCAGCTGCAAACCGACCGACCTCCCTCCCCCAACTTCTGAAGTCTGCCAGCCTGAAACCTTACGGCTCAACTGCCTCGGTGCGAAACCAGAAGGCGCTCACTTCCTGATTTGTTTCAAAACGTTCGCATGCGTCGCCTACAGCTACAGATAGCTGGTTCGAATGCAAATGAGGCTGCAAAACGCCTCAAACTGCAGAGAAGGCAGAGAGAACGTGGTTAAAAAAAAAAAGTAATCAGCCTCTAAAAAACCCCGCCCGGCGTTTCTCTGATTTACAGCCGTTATAAAGCAAATATCAGAAGAAGCCATCAGAGGAAGCGCTATCTCGAGGAAGCCATTTTGTAAGGCATGAGTAAGCTTTTCTGTCTGAGCCAGTCGCTACGCTTAGAAGTTAAAGTTGGGGTTAAAACATGCTCAAAATATCAGCTCAATGGCTTGAAAGGAAGCTAACTTCATAGATCATGTCGACACATTTAGCTGGGAAATACAAATGTACCAAAGCAAACCGTTTCCGTCTTCAATGCTTTAAGTAAAAAAAAACAAAATTAACTTTAAGACAAATCAGAATCATTTATAAAAAGAAATACAAAACACTTTAAGCAAAAAAAAAAAAAAACAGTTGACAGATAAGGCTGGCAGCGGAGACAGAGTCTCCGCTGTCCATTAGTCAGAATAAAATTAATAAATGGAAAAATAGCGTCATCCCTCATACTTCACCTCACCCTGCTTTTTTGGTAGTTTTGTCGGTCTGCGCTCAAACCGACGGCTGCCCCCGCGCCGCCGACCTCGCAGGTGTCTTCTTGTCTGTCCAAGGAGTGGATGAAGAAGAAGAAGCTCCCTCCTTTTGAACCCTCCACCGCCACGTGATGCAACCACAGGAAGAGGTTTAACAGTCAGAGGCGCTCTCTTTCTGCTCTTCCGGCCCTCTCTTTGCAGACGACGTTTTTTTTTTTTTTTTCAATCTAACAGGGGCTAAGAAAACTGCCATCTCTAGATCATTCCACTTTTTTTCTTTTTTTTAAGTCATCCTAAATTAAATAATAATAGAAGTCGCTTTCTCCCCTGCCCCCTCTTGTTTGGTTTGTCGCTCAGGTCTTGATCCTCAGCCTGAAAGTTTTGCAGTCGTTTCCTAACAAAGTGGAAACGGATTACAGCGCGCTGCGGCTCTCTCTCTCCTCACAGGTGGAGATGTGAGAGTCTCCGCTGTCCGTTAACGTTAAAAGTGCAAGTCTGTGACTATCCGTGCCACCGCGCACATTTAATATTGCGTGACCCGCCGACGGGTCATGAGACCCGGCGGGACGTCTGAGGAGCGCGATGCTGCAGTCCGGGCTGCTGCAGTCCGGGCTGCTGCAGTCCGGGCTGCTGCAGTCCGGGCTGCTGCAGTCCGGGCTGCTGCAGTCCGGGCTGCTGCAGTCCGGGCTGCTGCAGTCCGGGCTGCTGCAGTCCGGGCTGCTGCAGTCCGGGCTGCCGCAGCGTTTCCTGTTCACTTGAAAAAGAGCTTTTCATTAGAGCAGCGCTCTTTGCTCTGAGTTGTTCAGTGTTTTCATGTTGGTAATTTGTCATATTTGTTTCCAAAGAATAAATGCACAGAGCTTTCTTTTGCTGATGAGACAGTCTTCACACAGAACTTATAAAATATGTCCCTCCCTTTCTGAAGGGACTGAAGGGCCACATGTTCCAACCGGACTCAAAAATGTGAATTTTTTTTTAAGTGCAGTTGTGTTGTTTTTTTGTTTTTGTTTTGTTTTGTTAACCAGGCTTGACCCCAGTGAGTCCCTTTGGCTTCTCAGCGGCCATTTTAACAAGATTGACTGAAACTGCGGCCTTCCTTCAGCACTGTTTGATCATCTGAGTACGTACTAGCTGGTGACATTTACAAAAAGAGTTCAAACCCTGCTACATTTTTCCCGCTGCGTTGCTGCTGTTTAAAAGACCTTTGGAGTCAGATTTCTCTGAAAGAATGAGGGTGACCACACTGTGGTCCTGCGTGTTAGTTCGCTGCTGAAGAAAGGCTTTTCCAGCTCTTACAAGAAACCCCGCAGGTGGTTGGAAGTATTCCTGTTTCCGTAAAAGTGTGGACCGAAGGAGCAAATCGGCTTGAAACGCAGCTTTTAAGCTGTGTGTCCGTGGAGCAGCCACCTGCGGGATCTACCTGAGCAGGTAGCCTGAGTAACAGAAGCTTTTGACTCTCATTCATTTCCTAAAAGAGCAGAATTTGGGATAATATCCTGTGCAGCAGGTTCTTATTAGCACTTTTATTATCAGGTTTTTATTCTATGCTAAATCAAAAATAACAATAAGTGTTGTCTATGGTTATAATACTACAGCTGTAATATTAAAATAGACATAATTATTTTAGCACCAGTAGAGCTAACTGACTACCAAAACAGATGGATTGAATAATTAAACAGCTAACGTTAGCTTGCCATGTAGCTCAATGAAAACCACAATTGATTTGTTGACGTTTGTCTGACGTCTCTGTATTACAAATCAAAATAGCAGATAACAGCGGATATGGACTGTTGGTCTGCGGTTTTAAATGAAAGAAAATGGATCAGGTTGATCTTACAGTTTAAGATTTTAGCAAACGGTGAAGCCGGGTCGTTTCTGATTCTGGCTGTGAGCGTCTCACACCAGTCCATTCTTACTGTGGCTCTGCTTCAGTCACATTTCACCAGAGAAAGCTCTGTTTCTTTTTCTCAGCGAGCTGCGTTAATGTCACGACAGCAAGCCACCGATTCAGAGCCTACGCATGAAAACGCCGCTGCAATAAGATCGATCCCTTTGCTCTCGTCGACTAGTTTTACGTATAAAATGACAGAATTAAAAAGAAAAGCATGCTTCTTGCATCCTCCACTAATCAGAGTTCAAACTTCTGTGTGTCACAGTGATGGCAGTTTTTTTTTCTTCTTCTTCTTCTTCCTCTGACAGTTTGCAATCTAATCTGGGTCATCTTAATATGCAGCGTGAAGAAAACTGGCCTCGTTCTCAGCTTAACAGAAATAACCCAGAGCAGCTTTATTGGGCAACACATTACTCTAGATCTTTCAGCTGTTTTGCAATGGTTAACAGGAAAAACTGTTTAGTTGTGTGTATTTCTGCTTCACGATCTATTCCGTGCGCTTTTTTTTCTTTTCTTTTTTCCTTCTGTGCTGCTTCTGCAATCATTTTTATTTTTTCTACTTATTCTCACTTCTCCTGGCGACTCTTTCATATCTTTTTTTTTTTTTTCCTTCTTATTACTCGCTTTCCGAACCCAGAGTTTGGGTTTCACAACACGTGAAAAGCTTGCAAGAATCCGGCCATTCATTTTTTCTGCGATACATGAATGAGGAGACGGCATTTGATAAATGAGAACTGGGGCGGCGTTCACGACTGCAGGTTGATTGACCTTCTGGTTGGCACAGAACTACATTTTGAGGTTTAATTAAAAGGTCGTGGTGTCGCATCTGTCTGAAAACACTATTGCCGCGCTTTCAGAGCTGGAAGAGAAAGATGGAAAATAAAGTCATAAAAATATCTTTGATTGAAGCAAATCGTCGTAGTTCTGTCTTTTATAGTCGCACATTTTGCTGGGTCTAATAACTCATACCAAAAATAACAAGCTTTATTTAGTCATTTTTGAACGTTTACATTTTACAACACCAACCAAAATCATTAATGAATCCGGCTGGATCAAAACAATTTGGAGGTAGAAGCAAAATGATACATGGCTTTCGAATTTAGTTGCGTTTGGAAGCCATATTTAGCTCCATCTATTTAGAGAGCTCTTTTCTTTCAGGAGCTTTCTAACTTCACTTTTCTATAAAATTAGTTTTCATCCCCTTTAATCTGACATCTTGAACAAACTGCAACACAATCCAGCTCTTCTCTGGAGAGGTTTGTTAGGGAACAGCAAAAAAAAAAAAAATACAATGAATTTTCAGAGTTTTAGTTTTGAGAACCAAAAACCTTCCCCTCACCCCAATCCTCCATTTCGCTCTACTTTGTATTTCCACCTACAAAATGCCCATAAATTTGCGGTGTTTGCGACGGCAGTGCGACGAGCTCCTTTGCGGGAAGAAATCTCCGGTTCCTCGGGGATCATGTCTGGTCTGTGTTCAGTCGTTCATAGATTTGCCATTTGAGACGTTTTCCCAGCTCCTCTTGAGACCCGGCGGAGCGACAATTTCCCAACCCAAGGCTGCCTCTCCAGATAGACCTTATCTGGGCCGTCAGTCATTTCCACTCCCTGCTCCCAACCCCCAGAAAGCTGCAGCTGGGTGTCGACACGGCCGAACCGCCCGGGTCCGAACCGCCCGGGTCCGAACCGCCCGGGTCCGAACCACCCGGGTCCGAACCGCCCGGGTCCGAACCGCCCGGGTCCGAACCGCCCGGGTCCGAACCGCCCGGGTCCCTCCTGGATCTAGGAGATGTACACTGAACTGAAACTGGCCTGCTCAGCTGCGTGTGCCGTTTATTGACGTGCAAATTTTATTGTAGTT